GCATGCAGTGTTTCACTGCACTGTTTCTGCGCTTGCTTTCCCCCGCTTCCCCTGCCCCCTCAATCGCTCCTGCAGCACTTTGTTCGCTCCTGCTCTGAAATACAAAGTCTGACGTCCCGTTCGTTGTGAGTCAATTTCTTTTTTTTTTTTTTTCTTTTTTTTTTCTTCTTCTCTTGTGATTTGTGTTGGTCGTCGTGTGGGGTTCTTTTCCACAACTCTGGTCTTGCGTCGTTTTTCCCCAGTCCCGTTCTCTGCCCCGCCTTCTGCCTCTGGTGTCGCTTCGTCTCTAACATGTCACCCTGGCTGTGAACGCTCAGGCCGAGTGTTAGGGAGGGGGGGGGACAAACGGCAGGACCCCAGCCACAAAAAACGACCAGAAAAAGCCAGTTCCCCATAACCCTTCTCCCCAAAAACTCGACGCTTCGGGCTTTTGGGCCTGCGACGCTGAGCTGTTGTGCGTACACATCTGAGCGTACGTGAATGAGTGTGTGGCGGGGTTTCACTCGGAGAGACGCCGTAAGTCGAGGCAGAAGAAAAGAAAAAGAAACAAAAAAAAAAGCGGTGGCAGCCCAAAAAAAAAAAAAAAAAAAAAAAAAAAAAAAAAACACTCTTTCAAAAGGAGCAATTCGATACCGCAAATTCAGCAAGCAACACAAGGAAACACTAGGAGCAACTCGTTACCGATGAGTAACTAGCCAACAAAAAAAAAAAAATTAAAAATCAAAAACAAAAACGACTGGAAAAAATCTCAATTTCATTCATTCATTGTCGCTCACTTCACTTGTTCGACCAGAATCCGATGGCACTGCGGTGTGAATCAACCTCAGATAGTCAAAAGCACTCGCTCTGCAAACTCAAACATCCCCCCTCTCTTTCTTTGATGGATTTCTCAGAATCCAGTCTTCTTCTCCATCAAAAAAAAAACAAAATGCGCAAACTCATTCTCACTCCTGCGCCCGATTTCAAGCAAGTCTGGTCGGACGCGGGCACGGGCGCGTCGCCGCACGACCTGCAGCTGTTTGAGCCCGTCTGCGCACCCGGCACCTTCTCGCTCGGCGTCGTCGGCGTCCGCAATGTAAAATTACGCTCAGCTTTCTTGAAACGTTCACCTCACTCACCAAATAAAGAACAGCTCCCGCCTCCAGTGCCTCGACGCACATATACTGACTGACCTTGCTGCTGTGGTGGTGTCCTTCACTTCGTTTGGCCTGTTCTGTTCTGTGTTGTCTCTGCAGGGAAAGAGCGTGTTTACGCTGAATGCCTCTGAAGACGCGTCTGAAGGCGACGCCGTCCCGCTCCTCGCCCCAGCCATCCAGTTCGTCGAGGTAACCCCCGCGATGGCCTTCTTGATGTCGTGATGTCTTGATGTCTTGTTGCTTGCTTGCGTGCAGTGGCCAGCGGCGGAAAGAAGCAGTCCTTTTGGCTTTCTGTTCTGCGACGATGACGTCAAACAATCCAATCATTCCTCAAAGCTGCTCAGAGTCAGGAATCGGGAATCGATCATTGTTCAAAATCACTCACCTTGCCGCTGTGCCGCTGTGTTGACGTGCATGCTTGCTTTGTGGATTCTGCCCAATTCCAACCGGACTAGCTGTGGAACGACAAGGGCACAGGCGCCAAGTTTGGCTCGCTGAATGTTTGGCGACCCATTCCTCCGCCAGATTATGTGGTAGGTCTGACTTGAACTCGCCGAAACACAGCAAGAAGAAACATAAAAAGAAGCCATGATGCGCATCGAAATTCTCACTCATCCTGTTGTTGTTGCTGCTGTTTTGCTGTTGCTCGCTCAGGCGCTCGGACTGGTCGTCACCACCGACCGAAAGGCTCCGCCCGCAAACATCTCCTTCCGATGCGTGCACAAGTCGTGTGTGACGGATGGTGATATTCTCTTTGAGAGTGACGGCAGCTTCCTCTGGTGCGACCGTTGCACAGGCGCAAAGTGAGTCACAATTTTCCGGCAATGTTGCTCATCCATCCACGACACTCAAAGCACCACCACCACCTTTGCTTTTGTTGTTTTACAGAGCCAACATGTGCCTGTGGAACATTGCCGCCACTTCGTGCGCCGGATTTGCCCCGCCTGTGCTGATCTTCTCCACCCTGTATGCTCGCCCGAAGGAAGTCGTGCAGGTCTTGCGCACCGACAGTATCACCATTCTTGGTGACATTCCTGCAAAGTACGCGCCCGTTCAGGAGCCCGTGCTGGCTCTCGATGGCGAGAAGCGTGCCATCCAGCAGCAGCTCTCCTCGTCGTCGTCCCGGTCCTCCAACTCCGCCGCGGCTCTGTCGGACGCACCTCCCAGCTACGCGGACGCCGTCGGCCCTCTGGAGGTGCCCACCCCTGCCGCTCCATCGTATGCGATGCCGTCTCAGCAAGCCCTCACTTCTGCACCCAGTGGTACGTCGATTTTCTTTCTTTTGTTTTCTTTTGTTGGCTCCAGAGAAATGCTGTGATCTAGACGTGTTTTGTTTCGCTGGGCTCATTCCAAGCTTTCGCCTTTGAAACCCTACTGCATCACCAATCACATGTAGCACTGGCGCCGTACACGTACTCGGTGCCTTTCAACATCAGTCCCGAGCAGCAAGGTGCCATTTTCCGCAAGTGGAAGGACGGACTCTGGTTTACCTCCTCGGCCTACCACTCGAGCAAGCATGTCCCGCTTTTCCAGGGTAGGCTGCTTTGTCAGAGATGTGATTGCTGGGCGATTTTTTCGTGTATCTGTATTTTACTGTATTTTCGTGTATTTTTCGTGGTGATTCACGCCACCCTCCCCCTTCCACTCCTGCTGCTCTTGGAAACCCATCTCTCAACAGTGAGCTACGTTCCCTACTACCTGATTTCCGCTCGCATCGAGACGCGATACACGTACGGCTTGTTTTGTTGATGCCAACGACGGAATGAACTGTTCTCTCACAACCCGCGACTCTTTGGTCCTTGCTCTCTGCTCGCAGTGGTCAAGTCCGCATCGAAATGATGCCCGATACGACTGTCACGCATCGCGACTCTTTCTCCACGACCCACACGCATCATGGCCGCTACTCGCAGTCCCATGACAAAGTGACTGTTTCGCAGACCTACCGCTCCGTCTGGCGTCTCGTCGGACCCGGCTCGACCTTCACGTCGTTTGTCGACGAGGCTGTCCCCGCTGCCGCGGTAAGTCACGGGCGGTCTCTTGTTGTTGCTTTGTTGGTTGGGTCGTTTTTTTGATGGTGATTGGTTGGTTTTCGAGTTTCCATTGTTTCATTTGCTGCTATTTCATTTCCGACACTTTTTCCTGACCCTGTCCCCCCCCCCTACCCGGTCCCATTGAACAGTCTCCGCGCATTCGCAAGCTGTTGGGCAACCTCGGCTCGTTCAGCATCGATCCCGCCACTCTCGGCATCATTGTGGGCCCCGGCCAAACGGTGCCCGGACCAGACGGCACTCCTCTCGAGTGCCCCGTGGCCTTCGAGCAACTCTGGACGGACACGTGCACCCACATGATTGAGTCGGCGAGCGAACAGTGCCGCCGTGAGGTTCAATCGTCGCAAGGTGCTGCCGAAACCAAGATTGCCATTACCGCGCTTGTCCACGAGCCTCATTACCGCCTCGTCTACCTCCCAGTGTACCAAGGTAGCGTTTCTTTTCTGTTATTTTTGACGCAGATTGGTTTTCTTTCAAAGGGTTCTTTTTCTTTTTCTTCTTCGTTGGCTCGCCTACGATCACTCAACACCATCATTCATTCCCGCGCTCTCTAGGTGACTTTGAGGTGGAAGGCACCGCTCACAAGATTCTCATCCACGGTCAGACTGGAAAGTGCACTGGTGAGCGCACCTATGGCCTTGGCGCGCTTGGCGCATCAATGAGCACCATCGGTCGAAGCCTCAGCGGCTCCGCTGCCTCCGACGGCGTTGGAGGCATTATCTCTGGCGCGCAGCTCAACCAGCAGGATAATACGAACTCGTTTTCTCCTGAGGCGTGAGTGAATGATTTCTGGTTGGGGGTTTTTTTTTCTCGGCGCCGCTCAAATTCATGACTTGTGATTTTCATGAAACAACAATTGATACAGGCACTTCCTCATCCTCCCGCCGTCCGCTTGGGCCAGCATGGGCTGGTTTACGCTCGTTTCGCACAGCTCGCAGGACATTGAGCTTCTGGGTCAGCGACGCGACAAGAAGTGGGGCATGTTCTTGTTCAAGCTCCGTCCCGGCAAGAAAGTGTCTGTCAACTACAAGGGCCACGTGTACGTTTTTTTACGTGTTGCGGGACTTCTGGATTTCTGGACAGAGAGAGAGAAAGAGAGCGTTTGGGGTTTGGAAACGTTTGTCCTCTCTAATGCCTCTTAACGTGGCCCATCTCTGATGCCCTCGCCTTTTCTTTTTTTCAACAGCGTTGTCAGGATCATGTCTGGCAACAAAGACGAGCTTGCCATTGAAGCATGGGGCGCCTCTGGCGGCACGGGCACCAACCTCCTTGGTCTCGAATAAGGCTGGTTTGTGGTCACCCTGGTTCATCGTCCAACCAACTCAAGTGTCTAACTGAAGCATCGCATTGCCATCATCGCTTCGGAGGTTTTTTTGCGTCGGTTCGCAATACTTGGAACGAAAATAAAAGAAAAATTTTGCTGGAACACAACAAACTCCAACTGAGTTTTTTTAAATGTCACACTCAGTTTGCCAGCACGGCCAACGCTGCTGCAAGATCGCCGTTCTGTTCTCGAAGCGTTTGCTCGGCCTTTTGGGTGGAGACCTCGAGCTCAGTAACCTGCACCAAACAACACAAACCAAAGTCAAAACGCACAATTCCGAGTTGTTGCGCTCAGATTGGATTTTCCGAGACTTACAATGAGCTGGACGTCCTCTGCCTTGACGCTCACGGCAGCCAACGCGCGATCCCTGCCAAACGCACCAACCGCACATCACCAACCAGTATGAGTAATCCGATCGACTGAGACTGACTGAGAATGAGAAATTTGTTGGGTTCCACCTCAACCCTTTGGTTTTGGGGGTTGTTTTGTTTGTTTGCTTGCTTATGCATTCATTCACTCAACGCAGTCTCATGCAGAATGCGACTCAATGTGTGATGCATGAAGTGAGTGGGCAATGCATTGCGCAGGCACATGGATTTCAATCATCCCGTTCCCCAACTCCCACCATCCGACCACCACCACCACCCATCCGCACCCATGGTCCGACTTCAACCCTTGTCTTGCTGGTGCGTCTTGTGATGTCTGGCGGGGTCAAGTGCGCGCTGCGCTGCGTTTGTGGTTGGTTACCGGACGGCGCGCTCTTCAACGTCCCGCTTGTGCTGCTCAGTCAGCAGCTTCATGGTCTGGTTGAGATCGGTGCTCTGCGCCATCTCCTTCTCCTCGGCAAAGTCAGTCACTTTGTCCATGTCAGCCTTGCCGGCGTCGTGGTGCGCGGCCTGTGCGGGCTGCGCGTTCTCGGCAGCGCCGGCCTCGTTCTCGTCGTGCTCGTCTGCCATGGTGAGATCTGAACTGGACTGGTATGAAGACTGATCATACATTACAATGGAGCATTGAGCATTGAGCATTGAGAAAACTCCGTGTGTAACAAGAGATTATGCAAAGCCAACACAGCATTATGCGGCAATCGGATCTTTGAACGGAAACAGCTTGTAGACAAGGGTTGCTGAATGTCTGAGTGCAACAACAAGAACGCGCGCGTTGCAAAGCGTCGCACTTTGAAATCCAACTATACAGTACATTGGCTTGGATGGAACAACCGAAAAAAAAAAAAACACTCGACAGACAACTTCAAGGCAAGACACAGGTGATGCTCGTCACGGCACGCTCGCAAATCACAGGCGTGTCGTTGCAGGTCGGGCGATCGATGATTGTGTTGTTGTAAAAGACGGCGCTCGAGCCACCGCCGTCCAGGTTGATGGCATTGGTCAAACCCAGGTCGAGAAGAATTTCGGTGAACTCGTACAAGTCCACGCCCGTGCCAATGTCCTCCTCGCCGTCGACAACAAAGATGGCCATGGTGCCATTGGCAAAGGTGCCAATGCTGGTACGAGGAGCCTTTTCGGTCACGAAATTGCTGTCGAGCGACTCAGTGTAGCGGCTGGTGTCGAGGTACGATTTGCCGTCACGCACGAGCCATCCAGCACCCGTCAGCAGCTGGGTCAGATTGTACTTGCCCGACTGAACGTCAGATTGATCGAGGTAGCTAGGTGTTCCAGCGAGGTGCAGAGATTGTCAAACAGATTGAAACCAGTTGTTTTCACGATGAGAGTTTGGCCTCGAGGTCGTCACCATCGCAGTCCCTTGAACAACGCAACACAATGCACAGTCCACTGCTTACCCAGTAATGAACGAGCGCTGGCCTTGCAGGCCAAAGTTGACACGGGCGGTCACAGCCGCCTCGACTGTCTTGCCGTCAATGACAATGTTTCCGATGCAAGCTCCCGTATTGACGTCAAAGAAGCCGGCTACCCCATTTCATCACACATGGATCGAATCAGATGAGTCAAAAAAGTCATTGTGACCGTGAAACCGGCAATGAAAGAATCAAAAAACCATGTTGAAGCATGCGAAGTGAGCTGCAGATCCGAAATCTTCACGGAACAGTGCTCATCATCCACAACACCTCGAATCGAGTCGCATCGCATTACCGTTTGTCGCAAATAGACAGTTGTTCTGCTTGGCGGTGACGGACGTGTTGACGCGATGGCCGCAACCCACACTGGGCAGCGCGTACTTGAAGAAGGCCGGATTGACGACCGTGCCGAGGAAGCCCTGGAACGAGCGCTGGGTGGACTTGATGACAAAGGACACCTGGCTGACCACAAGACCACTGGCAGACGCGTTGATGGCCGCGCTCCACGGCTGGACCTCGACGTCGGCCACTGTCGGAGATTGCTGCAGCAGCTGACCGACAGACTCGACGCCGGGATGCGAGCCACCGCGCGTCGCTGCTGCTGCTGCTGTCAATGTTGCGCTGTGGAGTAGCAGAGCAACGACAGCGGCGACCAGCGCGAGAAAGACCGCGTGCGTCCGCGGCGATGATGCTGAAGCAGTGCGTGTCGGAGACGAGGGCATTCAAGGACTGACCGACGATGATATGATAGATATAGAGAATGATAGAGATGTGCCGTGGGAACAAAAGGTTGTGGTGTTGGTAAGCGACAACAATGCTCAGAACAAGAGCACTCAGAGACGAAAGTGACAAAGTGAGGGGGAGGGGGGGGGGCAACCAGCGCAGATTACAAGCACTGGATAATTCTCAGACACAAGACGAGAGGGGAAGAAAGAGAGAGACAGCGACTCAGAATACAGGGTGGAATTAACAGATATAACAACAAGCAGGGGTCAAAGAAGCCCCAGAGCAGCAAAAAAAAACCCAAAAAGCAACAAACGAACAAAACTCAGAGCAACCAGAAAAGGCAAATAACAAGCAATCACACAAGGGTAGACGACATTCTTAACACACAAAATGGGGGGGGGTGATTTACATGAGCAACGAGGAATCGGCATCAAACACGACCTTGCTCTTGTAAGCACCGCGCTGCATTTGAGCTGCAGGCGCGCCGGAATCGGTCGATACTCGGAACGGATTAATGATGGGATCAGCGCTCGTGCCGCGCGGTTCATACTCGGGCAGACTCTCGCGCGGCGACATGGGCGTGAGCTCATAGGCCTCGATGTACTTGGCTGAGGCTGCGGCCGATTGGCGGTCTGCACCGGGCGAATTGGACAGCGCCGTTGGAATGACAGGCTGACGGGAAGTCGATGCAGCCGCGGACGATGACGACGATGACGACGCTGGAGCCGCAGACGACGAAGTGGCAGATGCCTTTTTGCCACCAAAGAGACGCCCTAGACCCGAGCTTGCGCCCTTGTCGCGCGATGACGCCGACTGGGCACTCGTGGTGCCAGTGGTGCTGACTGCGCTGGGGCGAGCACTCGGTCCGAGGTTGACCGAAACATCCTCGACACCTGCGCCCGACATGGCGTTCTGCGATTCGGCAAAAGCGCGCTCTGCTTCGGCCAGTGCTTCTTGACGCTCCCGCTCGCGCTGCTCGCTGGCTTCGCGGGCATCTTGCTCGCGCTGCAAACTCTGCTTTGCGTCGCGCTGCATGTGGCGCGACTGTGCAGTGCGCAGCCGCCAGATGGCATATGCAACGCCGAGAACGCCAACAATCAGACCCGTAATCAAGCCAGCAAGGGCATACAAATAAAGCGTGTCTTCCTCTGTGGGCTTGGGCACGAGCGGCGCAGGGCACTTCTCGCGGTACACTCCGTCCTTGCACTGAGTCATTTCCAGAGTGGCCAACACAGCTGCAAAGGTGGGGTCGATTCTGGAGCCCCAGGTCGAGGTGCGGAGTGCAGAAAACTCAGTGTTCAACTGCACAGTGAGCGCGGTCGATCGCTCTGCCGGGCGCAGACCACGACCAGGAAGAATGAAGAATTCGATCTGAGCAAAGCCAGTGCTGTCGACGGAGAGGACGACAACACGCGAGATGCGCGACGGGACGAGATCCAGCGAGTTGGCCACATCCGCAATGAAGGCGGGCTCAAACGAGTAGACCTCGCTGTAGTCGAGGCGAATGCGAAGCTTGACGCGAACGCCGTTGTCCTTGGGAGGCAGAATGCACTGACACTCGGCACGCAGCAAGCCATCGGTGCATTGGTCCGGAACACTGGGCTTGTAGCCGAGGTAGCACGAGCGGCACTCCGGGCCGGCGTACTCGTAATCGCAGGTGCAACCTCCGTCAGAATTGCAAGTACCATGACCAGTGCAGCGCCTGATGCTGTTGCAGCCGTCGAACGCAACAGAGAAACCGGGGTAGGTTTGCGACGGGTTGGACGTAAATCGCAGAATCAGCTCCGGTCCGTCCGAAACGATCGGTGCCAACGCCGACACATCCTGGTGGCCACTGAACGTGCCACGCAGCCGCCCCACGTCCGAGCCGTCGGTGCTAGCGTCGTACACTTCAATGACGTCCAGGTTGGACTCGGTCCACAAATAGTTGAATCGAAGCGTGAGACGCTCGGCAGCAACCGGAGCGATACGCCAGGCACAGGCGAGATTGTTCGAGTACTCGATACCAGCGGAACCATCGTCAAAAGTGCCGGAAAAGGAAGAAACGACCAAAGGAGCGGCAAAGCTCGAGTTGCACGACCGCTGACAGAGCTGCTGCTTGGGGAAGACACTCAGAGGTGCGCCGGCGCCAGTGCGCCAGTCGACTTGAACACCAACGAGCCGGCATCCAGGCTGAATGACAAGAGCGGGTAATTCACTGGCGAACGGCCCGAAACGGTGACACTCATGGACGTGAAATTGACGGATGTGACCAAGGTCAAATCTGCGTCAATTTGCAGCACATTGGCGTCCAAATCCAGCGTACCGGACGCGGCAGTGACTCGCGGAAGAAGGGTGGACGAAAAGTCTTCAAAGGCAATGCACACGTCCAGCGAAGGGTCACGACGTCGCAATCGCGTGGTGTTGCGCGAGCGTGTGGTGAACCCCAACGAGAGTGACGTGTACTGCGGATAGAACGTGAGACCAAACATGTGGTTTTGGGGCGCAACCAGACGATACGAGGTCGAAATGTAGTAGCCAAGATCGACCACGGGAGAGACGGCACAGCAAAACACGGAGCGGTATGTGGTCGACTCCTCAAAGTACCCAGTGCCGGCAGGATTGGTCGTGGCGTCCATGCCAAAGAACCCGGTGGCGTTTCCGCAAGCTGGGTCGACGTACGTCATGATAAACCCGGCGAGTCGTCGCGCGACGGCATCAAAGCCACCAGCGCCGTTCGACACCATCACGGTGGTCGTGTCAGAGAGCCAACCAGCATCACAGGACGAAAAGTTGAGACGCGCGGACGTGGCAGCCAGCTCGGCTTGAGAGCAGACATGGTACGGATAGGCCTCCGACGCGGAGGGCAACGCAGCGCACTGCGCCACAGCTTGCGCATAGTTGAACAGCTGAGGCGTGTCAATACCGCGCCAGCGTGGCAGCTGAATGAGGCCGCGCTCCAGTGAGATGGAAGAAACGTACGCCTCTTGACCGGGACCTGTCGGCGTGAGAGACTGGGTCAGTCGGTCGGGAAAAGCCTGGCCCAAGGCGACCGGCTTTGGGCTATCACGCGTCACTTGCGACTGCCAGGTGATGGAGTCGGGTAAAAAGTAGAGGAACGGGGTCATTTGGTCGGCGCGCAGGTTGGGGGTGCTGCCATCAAAGTACGACGTTCCAATCCAGCGCTCATAGTAGGTGGGTGGCAGAGGGACATTCACGTTCGTGGTGATGGTCGTTGTTTCGTTGGTGGTCGTATTCGTCACAGTGGTGACAACAGCCTTTGTAATGTTGCGCATCAGCGGGATGCGGGGAGTGAGCGTGATGTGCATGGCGGTGAACGAAATACCCTTGCGCTCGGACGTGTCGCGCTTGACAAAGTTCAGCGACATGGCCATGCGAATGTAAATTCCGTTCAGTGAAAAGCCAACGTTGTTTGTCCTGTACTCGGGGGGCGGACCGACAAGGCCGTCAAAGGAAACACACACGTCCGCAGAAACATTGTCCGCGCCTTGGTACTTTGGGTAGTAGGTTGGGACGAGCCAAACGGGCGTTCCGCAGTGCAGACCCGTGAAGCTCGGTGGGCAGGTGCACTGGTAGGTGCGACGGTCGGCGCGGGCAACGCAAGAGCCGCCATTGAGGCAAGGGTTGAGCTGTGGATCACAGCACACGTACACGGTCGGCGAAGTGGTGTTGGTGCCGTTCACCAGGTTGTTTGGGATGGTCGTGTTGACGGCAAAGACGGACAGCTGGGTTCTCGGCACGGCCGTGCTATTCCACAACGGATCGAGCGACGAGATGGTGACTGAAATGTTAATGCTGCCCGGCACGACGCCGTAGACGGAAATGTTGACTGGCACGATCGATCCCACGGGAATGGTGTAGGTGCTTGGCTGCACGGTGGCAACGGAGGTGTTCGAGCTGGCAAACGTCAGCACGACGGCAGCGGTTGGGGCGACGCCAGGGGTCATGGTGTAGTTGAAAAAATTGCCCACAATGATGGCTTTGGTCTTGGTGTTGGTAAAGAACTGCTGCGCCGTCGGACAGGTGGTCGCGTTGACCACGGCCGAGTACACCAGCTGGCAGGTCGTGCCGGTGGCAGTGGCCGGGCAGATGCACCGGAATTGATTGACGCCTTCGACACACTGGCCGCCGTTCAAGCACGGGTTGGGCAAGCAGTTGTTGCGGTAGGCGACGTACGTTTCGTCAATGATGAACTGGAACGAATCCATGTTGAGCGTGCGCTCGGCCATAAACCGGCTACCATTCGCTGGCAAAAGCGAGAAGCGCACGCTCGATGCGTTTCCAAAGTCCACAATCGGGGTTCTCGGCGTGATCTGGCTCAAGCTTCCGCGCACTTGGTCGGGAGTTCAAGTTTGTGTCAGAAATTCAAAACAGACAGTCAGTCAGTCAGTATTGTTATCGCAATTTCGATGCAACTCTGCGCAGAGCTGCCTTTCGTTTTGTTTTGTTTTTTGTAGTCTTTTGGTTTCATTGTGATTGTTTTAGTGATTGTCTGAGTTTGTTTGTTTTGTTGTGCTTTCGAACACCCGTTTTATCAAAGCAGTGAAATTGCATTGGGGGGGGGGTTTTCTGACCCCAAACGAAAGAAAAAATCCAGAAAATCCAGAAAGAATGAAACAACCGAACAAATAACAATCATCTCAGAAACAAATCAAAAACCAAAATTAAAAAAATTAAAAAATCCAAAAATCCAAAATAATACCAAAAGAAAAAAAGAAAAAGAGAAAAAAAAATCCGAAAGAGTTGCTTCTTCATTGACAGTTTTTGATTGACGGACCGAACGACCAACGCACAGCCACACACATCCACACACAGCCACACACATACACACATACACACATAGGCATATAGAAGCGGGATGCGAGGCGAGGTGTGGAATGGACGCTGGAATGGAAGGAAGAGTGGGAGCAGCGGTATGGTTGATTGAGTTATGCGGGTGGGATGGAAGAGACGTACCGTGCTCGCTGCCGGAGACGGACGGCGTGCTCTGGAACTCATTGCTGACAGTGTTCACAGTCACCGCGCGGAAGACGGTCGCGGAGGTCGCAGCGCCGCAGCCGCTCGTCGTCGCTGCAGAAACAGAAGGAGCAGCGAGCATTGTGCTCAAGGCCAAAGCGACGGCGACGACCTGCACAAGCACCGCCGCCGCGCGTGGCAGACACATGCGAGCCATTTTCGCCTTCTTTGTTTGGGTGTGGGGGCGGGGGCGGGAGTTGGTGTGGAGCGGCGCAGTCGGTTTTCGTTGTTCCGCTAATGCACAATCCAAAGGAAGAGGAATAAAAAAGAAAAAAAATCAAAAAAAAAATAAAAAGAATGGGGGTTTCAACATTGAATCATTGAAGGGCACACAAAAAGTGCTGAGGCGTTGCTCCTGTTTCGAGATTTTGTTCGGAATGACTGCATGAACGAATAGAAATGTCACTGCGGAGGAGGTCCGCGCGTTTATTGAGATTCCGAGTTGTCGGTCTGCATTGGCTGCTGCTGACTGTCGTTGGACAGCTTCATGCGTTGGAACATGTCGGAATAGAAGGCCTTCTGCTCACGATCCGCTTCTTTTTGACGCTCGTGGAGCAGCTGCAGCTCTCGTTGGATGGCGGAATCTGGCAACAATGGAAAAATCACGAATGCAATCCAGTCAGAAACGCGCGAACAAGCAGGCGCATTTCTACTGTTGAAGCGCAACAAGCAAGCACCAGACAAAAAGCTACCCCCGCTTGACAGCATGCACTCCCTTACCATTCGGTTCATTTGCTGCTGCAACTTTCAAGTCGCGCTCGGCTCGGTCGAGAAACCCGAGTCGCAAGTGTGCCTGGCCGCGTCGAAAGTGTGCCTTAGTGTGTGACTTGTCCAATGCGATAATCTGCCCTCCGCCGCGTAGATGCACAATACACAGCGTCTTGAGCGTGAGAGCACAGCAACTCCACTGCGTCAAGCAAAACACAACAAAACAACTTGTACCTTGTCGCAGTATTGGATGCACTTTTCCCACCGCATGGACTTTGATGCACACACTGCAGAATACCAAACAAGAAGGTGTGAGACCAAGTCAAACAAGCACAACCATCCACAGAGACCTCAGCAACGACGACCATGCAAAGGTTGCAGCCTTTTTGGCTGTTCGTGTCGTGCCTGGGAGCCCCAAAACAAAAAACAAAATCCCGCACATGAATACACACGCATGCACACACTAACGATGTACCTGTGAGATTGGAGTAGCAGTTGATGAGCATCTCGTTGATGGCGCTGGTGTAATCGGCTGACAACGCCGGGACGCCCGGCACGCCGAGCAAGCTTGCAAAGCCGCCCTTTGCGTCGAGTCCCTTCACTGTGAGAATGGCCTAAGCCACACACACAAGAACAAGCAAGGAACGACATCAGAAAACGCAACGTGAGGTCTTTGAGGCACAGCACAGCTCAGCTCAGCTCAGCTCAGCCCTGCATTTGCTTTTGGCTTTGGCTTTGCTTCAAACAGCGCAGCCAGCATACAAACTCTGCTACGACCTACCTCGTGGTACTTGCGTGCGGCGCGATGCAGGTCGTTCTGCTGGAAGAGTTCGTTTCCAGCCAGTCGCAATGCGTTGGCAGCGGCAATCTTGTCTGCAACGGACGCCATCCGATACAAGCAGATACAAGCAGATATGGACTGAAGAGTGAGTGAATTTGATTCAGATGTTGAGACTTTGACTGAGAGTGGGATTTGCATTGTAGTATGCTCAGCCAGTTCTGAGCTAGTCAGCAAGTCAGTCTATTTCTCGCTGTCTACAGTACAGTATCTCTCTCACTGTCTCTCTCTCTCTCTCTCTCTCTCTCTCCCTCGCTTATACTCAGGAGCCAGAAGTTCCTCCTTCCTATTCAGCAACAACGTCGTCGTCGCCGTCCGTCTCCCATCACCATCACCGCTCGTCTTCATCGCCGCGGCTGCTGCTTGTTCTCGGCCTGTTCTCGCTTGCTGCCGCGCTCGTTCTGATCCACCCACTCCAACTGCACCAGACCACCACTCCCATTACTACTCCCACTACTACGACGACCATGTCCTCCCTCTCGCCCACATCGCAGTCCTCGCCCGACGACAGGCCGCACCGCCCAGCGCCAGGCCCCGTCCCGCCTCGCATGCGCGCCGTCCTCGTCAACGCACAGGACTCGGCGTCCCTCCACATTGCAGAGGTCGACACACCCATTCCAGGCGCCAACGACGTCCTCGTCCGCGTCAAGGCTGCTGGCGTCAACCGCCTCGACCTCCTCCAGCGCAAAGTGAGTATGGCAACAACATTGAGCTTTTGCTGCTAAAAATCTCAGATACACACACATACATGCACACAAGCGACCATCCCTTGCGATTTGCTTGTGCGACATTCGTTCATGATGGACTCGGATGATATTTTGACCAACCTGTCTCTTGCTTCGATGTGCTGTGTGTGCTCAGGGCCGCTACCCTGTGCCTGAAGGCGACTCGACCATCCTGGGCGTTGAAGGTTTGTTCAGCTTGGTGTTGCCCCACCCACCCCACGTTTATCAGAAATGCTGCTTGCTCACTTGACATGTACGACGGGTTGGTGGCGTGTCAATTTTTGTGCCAGTGTCCGGTACCGTTGCTCAGATCAGCCCTGAAGCCCAGAAAATCTCGGGCCTGTCGCTCGGCGATCGCGTTTGCGGCTTGTGCAATGGTGGCGGCTACAGCGAATATGCCATCATTCCCGCAGAGCTTGCAATGCCCATCCCCGACACATTGACCTTCCATGAAGCTGCTGCAATTCGTACGTTGTCCTTCGATGTTTGTTTGATTCTGTTTCGTTTTGTTTGTTCGGTCGGTTTGTTCGGGAGCTATTTTCCGTGTCCTCAACTTCCTTTCCCTGGTTCGCTCGCATCCACACAAACAGCCGAGGCATTCCTCACGGCCTACAGCGCATTGTTCTGGAGCGCCGGCGTCACCGAAAAGTCAAAGTCTATTCTCATTCACGCTGGAGCCAGCGGTGTCGGCCTGGCTGCAGTCCAAATCGCCAGCATCGACAAGCCTGAGGACCGCCAGATTATTGTGACTGCGGGAACGGAGGAGAAAATTGCCGTCTGCCAGGCTCTCGGTGCGACGCATGGCGTAAACTACAAGTCGGGCCCGTTTGCCGACGTCGTTTATGGCATCAGCAACCACAGGGGCGTCGATGCGGTGATTGACTTTGTCGGCGGTCCGTACTTTCAGCAGAATGTGGACTGCGCTGCGCTCGATGGCAAGATTGTCTTGCTGGGCATGCTCGGCGGCCCCGAGCTCGACACCGGCCTTGGATTCAACCTTGGTCTGCTGTTGCGCAAGCGCCTCACTGTGGTGGGCTCCACACTGCGCAACCGAGACCTGGCGTACAAGGCCAAGCTCACCAAGGAATTTTTCGAGTATGCCGCGCCGCTGTTCGACTCGGACAGGCTTCAAGCCACCGTCTATAAGGTGTTTACCATGGATCAGGCCGAGGAAGCGCACGCAGTTGTCCAGGCCAACGAGAACATTGGCAAGGTGATTCTTGCTTGGCAGCTCAAGACTGGTCTGACCCCGGCATCGTCCATCTCCACTCTGAATGCTTTGTAACGCAGGCAATGGCTATTGCTTCATGGTGTTGTCTCACGCGACTGTTGCACACTGCCAGAGTGGTTTGATGTCCAGTTCAATTCAATAGCAATCAAACAAAGTTTTTTTTAAAATAAACACAAACACGTATCAGTGGCTCTGCTGTCTCTGACGGCCAGGATTGGATCGAGGAAACTTCCACAAAGCAGCACCGACACGACTTGTGAATTGCCGGTTGAGCCGGAAAATGACAACCCCAGTGAGTGCTACAGAAGAGAAAATGATGAGCTTGTTGTTGACGAGATTCCGCCACGGACTGGGCTGCACCGGATTTTCTCGAACGGCAACAGTCGCGCGCGTCGAACCCTGTGGCACCTCAACTACCACATTCGCAAATCGCTCTAGATTCCAATACAAAAAGGCTCTCTACAGTGGGCGCAGAGTGAGGCTCAACACAAAAATCCTACGATGAGTGCACGAAATCGAAACTACCGAAACTTACCGCGCTCTGGAGCGGCGCAACAGCTTCGATTGGATCGGCATCAACGCCGTAGCTTAATTGCGCGTGCTTGATTCGTCGATACGCCACCACGTTCATGTTGTCGCGCCCTCCAATGCCCGCGCTTCGTGTGCTGTTTTCAAACATGTCAATCCAGATCGATTTGGGCCACATGGAGACGTGTTGAACAACGCCGGCCTCCTTCAACCCTTTGCTCGTCCAGAAGGCACAGTTGCCTCGTTCAGCCAGATCGAACGGAAGCACCCATCGCACAAAGTTGAGGATTGGCGAAAGAACAATTTCAAACTTTGCACGCTGTGCTCGCGATTCCTCTTCCAACCGCTGAAAGTACTTGTGCATGGCCAAGATGCGCTCCTCTGGAACGTGTTCGACGCGGACGCTGATCATGGTCCGATTGTACAAGCCTAGGTTTCAGAATTCGTTCGACTGAGCCAATAATCCAGTGCCTTTCAGACCGCCTCCGTCTCTCCTTTTTTTTTTTTTTTGTTTCCAACGACATGACATCGTGACAATACCTCGCTGTTCGCTGGCAGGAGAATAATGGGTGCTCAGAAAGTACTCTTCTGGCGTGCAGAACTGAACCATTGGGACGCCAATGCCGCCTTTACCGTTAATGTTCATGACCACCTGCTTCCCATCGGGCAGCGTGTACCGGACTGCCGCGTGTCCAAACGAATTGTAGCTCAGTCCGTAGCCGAATCCGAGCCGCACTGCCGAGAATGGCATGACCTGGGACGATGAACAACGAAGCACTCAGAGTGATCATCAGCAACGCAAGAAACCAAATACAACGTCACAGGCCATTTGGTCTGTGTGTGTGCGTGTGTGCGTGTCGCTTTGGTGTGTATCTACCAGAATGTACTCGAGCGCGGGCGGCTTGCTGCGTCCAAGCGCGCCATCCACGTCGCTCAGCAAGGTCGCCTTGTTGGACACTTCCGCGCCGCCCTCTGCGCCAAAGTCGCCAGGCACGGTCGCCACGGCACTGCGCGCGGTGCTTGACTGCAGCTTGCCAATCGTAATCCGCGGATCGAGAACAGCCTGGCTGCTGCTGCTGCTGCGCGAGTCAATCATGTCCAAACTTGGTAATTCTCAGCGATTTGGAGACTGAGTTTTTGGCGCCTTTTTTTTCCTGTTTGTGTTTGTGCCTTTTGTTCTGATTCTCATTCTCATTCTCGTCACATGTTGTTAACAAGAGCTCAGTCTGAGTTCTCATCGTTGTGCGAGATGCGACTGCAGCAATGGACGAGCCGAGCCAAGCGGTGACCAGACGAGGTCGAGACGGAGCGCCCGACCGCGGCACCACGAGCGGACCACGCGAGCACTATTGCGAGGCAGAACCGCACCAAGCGCAGGACGCAGAGGAGGACGAGAACGAGGACGAGCAGGACGAGCAGGACGTGGTCGAGAGGAGCGTCGACCAGCGAGCAGCTCGGCCTGGAGAGCCCGTCTGTGCCGTCTGCGGACGCTACGGCGAGTACATTTGCGACCAGACAGACCAAGACGTGTGCAGCATGGAGTGCAAGGCCACTGCCGTTGCGGGTGCGCGGTGGAACAAGGAGCCAGAGTCGACAAGGCCGTGCCATCCCAGTGCCAGTGCGAGTCAGGCGACTGCCGCCAACACTGAAGCCCAGGCGCATAGTCACCAGGCGCATGCTAGCATTGAACAGCTCCGGGCGCGCCTCGGGGTGACCATCACAGCGATCGGCGCTGGGGAATCAACCACACTGCCGCCGCTGCCTGACGTCCCGCCAGTCGATGCGTTTGCAGACCTGGACTCGGTGCTGCCAGACAAACTGCTGGATAACTTGTATCGCTCGGGGTGCAATCTGCCCTCGTTGGTGCAAAAGCAATTGCTTCCGCTGGCACTCACAGCGATCTCGCCCTGTGAGCGCGCTTTGACCATTCAGCACAACACCTTGAACGGGGCGCCGCACTCCATGGTGGTCACAGCAAGCACGGGGTCTGGAAAGACACTGAGCCTGGCGTTGGTTGCAATCGCCCACGCTGTGGCATTGGCGTCGCACTCGCCGTCAGCCTCCCAGCCTGGATCACATCCATCGGTTCTTGTGCTCAGCCCCACACGCGAACTGTGCGTGCAAATACAAGACAACATCAAACGGCTTGCTGAAGGCATTCCCAATCTGCGGACTGCCTTGCTGGCCGGTGGCTTTCCTCTCCCGCCTCAACTCCACCGTCTGTCGCAAGCTGTTGCGATAGTTGTTGCAACGCCAGGTCGACTGATGGAAATTCTGGCGCATCCCCGAGGCGGTGGTGTGAGTCTAGCGTTCGATCAGCTGCGTGTGCTCATCTTGGACGAAGTCGATGCACTTGCACTGGGCGATTTTCGGACGCAGGTGCTTCGCGTCGTGCAAGACCTGGTCTTTCACGCTGGCAGCTCTTTTCAGGCGCAGCAGCAGCATGCAGTCACCCCCAGTCTATCCAGCAACAGCAGCAGCAGCAGCAACAACAACAACAACAACAACAACAACAACAACAACAACAAAGAAGCCAGCTGGCATTTTCAGCTTCTCGCCACATCGGCCACACTGACCAACCTCGCCACGAGCTTGTGCCTCAAAATCCTTCAGCAAATCTACGGCTCTCGTCAAAGGCCAGTCCCAACACTTTGGCATCTGGCTGTTGGAACACCAGCAATTGCAGCGGATGAAATCAAGCAAGTGTTGATGTGGGTTGAAGAGAAATCCAAGCCAAACACGCTCTGCCGGCTCCTGAATGCCGAGCAGCACTATCGACCTCCCGTGCTCGTGCTGGTCAACTCGCTGGCCACCGCAAAGGCCTTGCCTCCGGTCATCATCAAGCGCTGCGCCACAGAGTGCGACTATGTCTCGTCAGAGCGCACGCAGGACGAGCGAAACGCCGTCATGGCACGATTTGTCGCAGGCGAGTTTCCCATTCTCGTGGCTACAGGCGGTATTGCCGGCCGTGGGTTGACACTTGGCAGTGTCGGCAGTGTGATCAATCTTGACTTCCCTCGTTCCATTGATGCGTACATTCACCACATTGGTCGGGCGACGCGGCGCGTGCAGACCACGCTCCCCCGGCCCAATTCCGGTCTTTGGCGTTCTCAAAGCGCGGGACTCGCATATACATTTCTCAACCTGACGAATGAGGCTCAGTTTGTTCCTCTAATGGCACTACTAGAGCCTGCGGGCGTCGTCTTTCCTCCCGAAGTCAAACAATCGATGGCAGTGTTTCGCCACCGCGAGAGGCTGCGATTTCACCCGCCGCCATCGCCTCAAGTGAATGAAGCTACGCCTGTACTCGTTCCACCCACGATCTCGACAGCGCCAACCAGCTCTTCCCTCTCGACGACTGAAGACGCGGGCCCCGAGTTGAATACAGTTCCTCCTCCAGCTTACCAATCTGAAGCTGTGCCAGTGATGCCAGCGATACCACTTCCTCCACCATGGTTGCTATCTCCGTTCGCCCCGCCTTTCATCATGCCACCAGGCCTGCCGCCAAGACCGCCGTTCATTCCACCACCAACCACACATCACCTTCCACCGCCGCCTTGGCTACGACCCAAACGATCGTTTAGCAATGACCCTTCAGATTCCCGAGCAGCCAAGCGACCGCGTCAGTAGCAACCAATATTTAACAAAGCAGCAATTCATTTCATTTGTGAAATACAACAAACCGACGCGTTGTGCTTCCCAGCATCAATCAAAACCAAAATCAATCAAAACCAAAACCAAAGAACACAATAAAACTGGAAGGAAAAAGGCAAGACCAAAAAATCAACAGGTATTAGTACAGAACAACAAATTCAAAAAATTCACAATTCAAAAAAAAAAATCAAAAAACTCAGAAAAAATTATAACGCTTGAGGTTGTGCATTGTCGGACGCGCTAGAATCGCCTTCGTCTGACGACTTTGGTTGGCGTTCAGCCGTGTAGGCATGGGTGAACGAGTGGCGCACTTCGCCATCTTCATCGGTGTGGCTGTGCGCATTCCACTGCTGCAATCGATCGAGCACATTTGCAGGAATGTCCGGATGTCCCGCCTGGAAGTCATCAGGCATAAAGCCAAAACCTCGAGCGGCAGCTATCGCAGCCTCTTGACCGTCGCGCCGACGCGGCGGCGGTGGCGGATTTGTATCAAAAGCGACTTCAACGACGCGAGTAGTGTCGGGCAGTGGCGAGGTCACTGTCTCGTCCTTTGGCGCACGACGCGTTTTGCGAAGCTTGGATTTGCGCTTGGACTTGGGATTCGGGAGTCCGGTAGGCCCACCGAGCAGCTTCTCGGCGGCCTCCAAATCTTTCTTGAGCTTGCGGATGCGCTCGTCAGATTGCGTCGCATTCGCCGACCGCTGGTACGTCTCCAGATCTCCCACAGGAATCTCCTTTTTCACTTTGGCCAGGTATTCACGCTGGAGGGCCCGACTTGCAACGGGCAGCTCAAAGTCATGGCCGGCATGGCGATGAACGAAATTCAGCAAATTGTGTGCGGACAGCGGGCCGAGGTACTGGTAGTGCACGTCCACGCCAGAGGCATGAGCGGGGAACAAGACGAGGATGGGGTATGCGTGTTGCGTGGCGTTGCCGTCTTCCACGGACAGCTCCTCTGACTGATGAGCGGTTGGAAGCGGTCGAAACGCTGGCGGAACAAAGTTCTTGGAGGCATCCATCTGAGCAACAACCAGGCTTGGCAAGTGACGGTGCGCAACGCGCGACAGGGCCTCGAGACCACGCTGGATGATGGCATGATTTTGGGCCAAAGGATGGTAAATCTCCAAAAGCACGTCATTCGTTGGGTTGCGGCAAATGCGATCAAACGAGGCTGCAGTGACGCGGTGCAGCATGTGCGCGTTTTCTGTGACAGTGTTTGGGGATTCGGACTTGTACGTGCGCATCGCTCGTCCTTCCACAACCGCCAGACTGTGTTGCAACATGCTTTCTTGTGAGAGCTGCGATGCGAGTTCAGAATCAGGCACGAGGCCGAATCGAGGAAAGGCATCCTCGGCCAACAGAGGAGCGGACTTCTGCGACTCAATGTCCCGGAATGTGTCGTTGACAAGGGCGCAAGAGAAGGCTGGCAAAGTCAGTCCGGCCAGAGGCACGTCGGCCACAACTGGCGCGTCGCTGTACACCAAACCATGGACGACGAGCAGTTCGCGAACAACCGGCCCGTGCTCCACGACAAACATGAGCCCTTTGTGCCGGAGTTGATCCGCAACTTGACGCACAGCGAGACCGAGCGGAATTGTGACATGCGCGTCACGCCCGTCTCGCGGAATCAACACGGATGACAAGTCGCTCAAGCTGCAAACAAAGAGTGACGCGACGGTAAAGTTGTTTCGACGGTGGTAGCGGTCGATACCAACATCGCGTTGAACAAGCAGAGGGTAGCGGTCGAGGACGAATAGCTGTTGCGCAGCCTCCGAGAGCGTCTCTGCGTAAACACACGGTTGCTTGCTTCCTGGAGTGCGATTCGCACTGTTGGTGGAGTGCGTGCTAAAGCACAAGGAGCGTTCACGACAGTCGAATGCATGATGGAAGGCCACGAGCAATGGAATGTCTGCTTCAAACGCTTCCAGCAAGCCGGGCGCGTCCCAGTCCTCAGCGTCGTTGAAGGATGCGGTGGTGTTTGACGGTCGGATGCGTTGCCCTCCAAGTAGCTCACGACCTACCTGAGGCAATCTCACAAAACCGAAAGTGAAGTCGTCACGGTGGGCGTCTGCGAACGCGACAAACTCGGACAGAGCTTGTCGTTGGAGAATGGGCAGCGTTGGTAGCAGCTCGGAAATGTCTCCTCCCGAGGACGCCGGCTCCTGAGTAGAACCGCGGAGAAACAACACCATGGCAGAAGCAGCAGGTGCGGCAAGAACGTGGGCATGGGCAGAAGCGGGAGTCGTGCTCGTCGCGTGAGCAAGCATGAGAGCATCGAGGTCTTGAGCTGCGCTGATCTGGACAACAGAAGGGCCCATGTGACGCTGAATAAACTTTGTCATCTGGTCCTCTGCACTGATGCCATGGTAGACGGCTGCCAAGCTGCCGGCGCGGAAGAGGTGAAACTCGCAAATCACACTGCACTGAGCGCCATAGCGCAGTCCCAACTCTCGCTCCTCGCGTGCATCAATGCGACCAAAAGCAAATAAAGATGGTCGGGAATCCTGGGCGTCGGTAGCGTCCTGATCTGAGGAATCGAGAGGAGCATGTGTGTGCTGCCGCTGCTGCGGCTCCACTCGTCTGTAGACGCGCTCGGCAGCATGCAAAAACTCGTGCTCAAAGTAGCGACAGGACTTGCACCATGGATACGAGACGTGAACAACCACCACGTTGGCGGAATCGAGCGTATCTGAAAAGTTGCCCGCACCGAGCTGCATCACATGCGGGAACGATGTGTAAACCAAAGCGTGATAGTCCACTGCATCTTGGCTGGCATCCCGCGACGCTACAATGAGCTGCTCGCGGGTCTTGGACCTGTGGCCGTAGTCAGAATCATTGTCATCGTCATCGTCATCATCGTCATCCGTGCTGCGTTGAAAGTCGTTCTTGTATGATTCGAGAGCAAGACGCTGCTTGCGTGTGAGCGCTGCGTTGCCGCCGCCGTCGTCACTTCCGTCGTCACTTCCGTTGTCGTCGTCGTCGTCGTCGCGAGAGGTGTCTGTAACAAGCCGTCGCCTTGCAAACGCACTGGCCTCGAATGCATCAAACTCGCTGCTGAGATCCGCCACAAAGTTCCAGCGCCGCCAGTCGATCGAGATCAGCTTGCGCAACGGGGCTTCGTCCTTGAGCAGGCGATCGAATTCGTGCGGGTACAATTTGACCAGCGTCAGACGAATGCCTCCGTCTGCAGCTCGCGCCCACTTGCTCTTGGACGGCACGATATCTTCGCGCAGCTCGACTTCCAGCACGTAATGGTTCCATTGGTCCTCGAGGGCCCGTTTGTGCAATCCTGTGCCGGTGCTTGTGGACGCGGACGAACCTGCTGCTGTTCCTTGGTGTTCCGCCGGGACGATTCCACGGCCTGATCGCTCTGATCAGCCTCTGCGAGTTCTGGCATGGACTTGACTGCGGCTGCACCTGCGCCACTTGTGGGTGGTGAGGATGCCTTGCTCTTGAGCGTCGTCGCCTCGACTGCAAAGTGTGTCTCGTTGAGCCTGATCTGCGGGTCGCCGACCATCTCGCCTTCCATCTGCAGCGTCACAAACAAGCGCGCTTCATTCTGCGCCCACTGGATGCGCGGCAGGCGTCGGTGCGCCGGCGGGGCGTCGGCCCGTGCCTGGTCTGCCAGCACCAGCAGCAGCATGAGCAGCAGCATGAGCAGCAATGCCGTGGTACCCATCAGTCTCAGCCTCAATCTCAGCATCGATGGCATGAGCTCAGAGTCGGACGCTGAAGCGAGCGAACAAGGTCCTCGTCGGCGTCGTTGTCGGCGTTGCTCAGACTGCTCGACGGCAGCCATTTTTTGTATTGAAATTGGAGTGGATAGAGGTGGATTGAGCGTAAACAAAATGTCGCACGAAAATCAATCAATACTGTAGTAGAAAGCACTTTGACATTGGCGCGGCGAGTGGCGAGGGAAGCAGGGTTGGGAGATGGATGGAGCGAGAGTTTGCAACATCCAGAGGGTCGATTTGGGGGGGCGGTTGGTGCAGACTCGGCGCTGAACGACAGAACGTGTTTCAGCTAACTTGCTTGGCAATCATCGATACAGCACGCGGTGGTGGTCGGAAAGCTCGGTCGCAAAAAGCGAACGAGTGTGCTTGAAACTTTTTGATCTGGCACTTGCGTCGAGGCAGCCTCCTCTCCTTGGCTCCCCTTGGCTCTCCCTCTATTGAACTGGATAACGAGCCTGCTTCGCGCGACTTTTTTGCGGCCCAAGACAAGCAGCTGCTTAGCGCTCCTTCTTTACCATGTCCTCAATCCGTTTTGTGTGAGGCGTCAGAATAAAGAATGCATCACTGGGGTCAATCGACCCGGGATATGGATGTGCACCAGCATGATGATGATGTTGGCTGCCTGTCTTGGTTGCAACCGGCGTTCTTGGCGGCGCGTTAGCGGGAGCAGAATTTGACGATACGATTGACGAGGACTTGGCGGCTGGCCGTGATGGCAATGAATCCTCGCGCAACAAGGCAGCCGTCTCTGCAGAGTCCGATTGACCAAGCGCAGTGTTGTTCCCTGTCAAAAAAAACAACCAATCCATTGATGTTTGTTCCGAAAATCTCAGAAAGAGGGTGAGCTTCACCACAATACAAGGCGTTCTCAACGCATTGAAGTGCCTATGAAGCACAACAATAATAATGACGATGATGATGATGATGATGATGATGATGATGATGATGAGGTGGTTTTTTTGATTTACCAGCTGCAGCAGCAGCACTTGGATTAGCATTCGCAGCAGCAGCATTCATGGAGGTCGAGTACGAGTGGTAGATGGTCGCAATGGTCTGTGCGTGTCTGCGCCATGCGACTGCAATGAGCCAGCACAGAGTGGCGAGGATTGCCAGCTCGATCGCAATCACGGGCGACTGGAGCGCAGACTGGATCACTGCTGCTGCGAAGAACGGGGCGTCCATCTGTGTTGTAACAGGCGTACATAGACTGAACTTCTATCTGTATCTATCTATATCCATATAGCATAGCTAGATGTGATGGCAGACTCGAAGATGCAATAAGAGTCAAGCAACGATACAAGGCTATTTGACTTGATTTTGTTTTTGTTTTGTTTCTGAGATTCTGGTTTTTTTGTTTGTTTTTGGTCTCAGTCTTCTTTTTTGTTTCGTTTTGACAGCTCTTCCTATCAAACACACACATAGAAGAGCCTGGCAGATGGAGTCGCATCGCACTGGGTTTGACGGCGATCAGGACTTGCATGTGCCCGACAGCGAGGTCTTGGAGACCGAGACGACGAGCGCGAGGACGAGGACAACGCCAGAGCAAAGTCCTCAGCAGGGCGACGACGACGACGACGACGACGACGAGTGGACCGACGACGACGATCATGATGACCATAATGATAGCAATGACGACGACGATGATGATGATGACGACGATGATGATCAGTTCTTGACGGTGAGCGAAGGCGACGAGCAAGTTGGCGGCCAAGACGAGGCCGAGCGACAGCCCCACAACCCGTACGTGAGGCTGGTGGCCGCCGTGGCCGAGGTCGAGGCCCGTGCTGATGCTGCCCGTGCTGCTGCTGATGGCGGTGATGGCGGTGGGGAAGCCGCAGACGAGCTGCAGCAGCAACAGCGCTGGAACGCGCAACTGGACACGCTGCTGGCTCAGCTGGCTGGCAGCGAGCAGGAGCAGGCGAGGCTCGTCCAGCAGCGTAACATACTGCAAATCATGCAAGGCATTGTCGGAACGTTTGCAACGCGCATCGCACGGGCCCAGCGAAACACAGAGACGGGCCGACGCCCCTCAGACAGCTCAAGCTCAGGCGATGATGACGATGACCATGACCATGACCATGATAATGATGATGGTGAACCGGCATTGCATGATGGTCAAGATGGTACCGACACTGGCAGTCAACCACAAGTGGACAGAGTCTCTCGATCGCTGGCTCGGGTGCGCGAGCGCCCCAGACGGCGCAGAATGCATCGGTCAATCACGTTTGATACAACACGACCAGTACTGCACGAGTATCTGGGCGATGTGGAGGACGTCCACCACCGCGCCATCCTGGAGCCCGGGCAGACCACCCAACTCCCCATCTTGTACCTGTCGAACATTTCGTTCTTTCCCGGACGCACGACGCCGCTGCACTTTTTCATGCAACACCAACTCGCTGCGATCAACCGGGCCATGCAGGGCTCGCGGATAATCGGGCTTTGCCACACATCAGATCTCGCGCACCGCAACAACAACAACGCCAATCGCGGCATCGCCCAAGGCGTTGCGGCTGAAATCATCTCCATCCGCAACCGCGACGCTGGACGCGTCACGATTGTCGCCCAAGGCCGCTATCGTTTCCGCATTGTCTCGCATTATCCCTCTGCTGCCCAGTTCCACCAAGGGCAGGATCCAACGGATGGAACAGACGCGAACGTGGTCATTCTTGACGAGGGCGAGCCTGCGTGCTACCCGGTGTCGCAGCTCTCGTTCCGACCTGCTGCCCTGCGCTACTCCATTGGTGGTGGCTTACCACGAACCACGCCCAATCTCATCCCGTTCCACGCCATGGTTGCCTCGCCTTCGTCCCGTCTACCAGCCGCCCAAGCGGCCTCTCTGCTTGCATCGAACGATGGCGATGTGATGCAAACCGAGCCGAGCGTGTCTCAAGGTCGCATTACTGGTGATGGCACCGCAATCGTGCCGTCGTCTTGCACCACGACGGATGGTCGGGATGACCCCGTTCTGGCCCAAGTGATGCAGTCGTGGCGGAAACCATCGGCCCCTGTCGCCAGCATTTCGTACTGGCCAGCCTGGGTCACGCGGTACTACGATCCCTATGTGCTGCGTGATCGTGCCCTCGCCCTTCTTGTGGCGGATTTCGAGCCGGAAGCACTCACGTCGACCGCAACCTCATCAGGGAATCGACAAACTAGAGGCGAGGCAAACTCGCAGAATTTTCTTGGGCGGGAATCAGACACGAGCGCTGGTAGTGCTACTAACCAGCAGCGCCATCACAGCCGGCTCGCCAACATGTCAATTCCAGAAAATCCCATCGCCTTCTCGTATTGGCTCGCCAGCAACTTGCCAGTCAGCCCAGAAACGCAGCAAACGCTCCAGAAGATTGACACTGTGGTTGAACGGCTGCGCAAGGAGATTGATGTCATAGCAAACCTGGCACCGCTGTGCTGCTCCCGCTGCCTCCGTGAAATCTCGTCGTTGCGTGCCGTGGTTGGCATGTCGTCTGCTGGATTTGCCAACGCGTTTGTCAACTCGTTTGGCGTCGTCCACGACACCATCACCTGCTTTACCGCACAGGCACTGAACTTGGTCGGTCAGCCCTCGCTGCAGGACACGTGGTTTCCGGGCTACGCGTGGCAGATTGCCATCTGCTCGGGCTGCTACACGCACATTGGCTGGCACTACACTGCAACGCAGCCGCATCTGCAGCCTCGCCGATTCTGGGGCTTGAGTCGGGCCAACTTGATTGATTCTGCGCCTGCCTTTGGTGATGAAGACAATGATGCTCTGGATTTTGCTGCGTCTCTCAATGACGAGATTTGACGCCCAAGTCGATCGCAGCGGCGGAGTGCTGCCCCTTGCCAGTAGTCGCAGAACCAACCGATTGCGAATGTGAAGCGCGGAACGTTTTCAGTGACACAAGGATTGTCTGGCTTGCATGTTGGATGACTAACTTTTATTTATACGTGTACATATCAGTGCATCCAAACCAGTAGTTCCCACTGCAAGATCGTCATCCCAATAATGTCATGAAGATGGGGTTTTTTTTTTTTTTTTTTTTTTTTTGGGCTCAGTCTCGTTTTCTGTTACAGTTTGTCTCAGACATGTCAAAATTCCAACCTGCAGGAACGAACGCCACTGCTGCTACTGCTACTGCTGCTGCCGGTGCCAAGGCGGCTCCCAGCATGAGCGCCGGCTGGTCTTCCCAACAGACGATTGCAGCGACTGTGGCTGTGGCTGCCGTCGGTGTTGCTGCCTTTGCAGCGTACCGCTTCCTCAATCGCAACCAGACAAAGCCAACGTCCGACTCGGCCAAGTCGCACAGCAGCAGCACATCCGCCGCGGTTGCAAGCGCAGCCGATGCCTCATCATTGCGTGAGTTTGCCCGAGCCGCACAGTCGCACATGCGACCACCGTGTTGCGGGGTGGAGAGGGTTCCGGAGTGGCTAAGCTGTAGTTGAGTGTGATTCATTCAGCTTTGGCTTTGGCTTCTCTGCTTCTTGGCTTTGGCTCTTGCCTCTGGCCCGCCCTGTGCACTTGCTTCGTGTTGGTGGCGCTTGTCTCGCGCAGTCCCCTGTGCGTTGTGTCGCTTCAGCTGCGTGGGAGCAGAGTCCAATCCGAGCCCCCATAGCATAGCATTTAGGCTGAGCGAGCGCATGGAGTTGTTCGATTCGCGCTGGCAAGTGGAGGCAGTGCAGACACGCTGGACTGACCAAACAAACCCACACATCGCAAGCGTGTGGCTTTGTTGTGTTTCGACAACCCCTGGGGGCGCTGGGACAGGCGGGTGTGTGGAGATGGGCGCTGTGTAGCAGGAGAGGGAACACAATGGTGGCCCCAGTCAAAAAAAAAAAAAAAAAAAAAAAAAAAAAAAAAAAAACGCCAAGACAGCGCTTCTTCTTCTCGTTTGAAACAAGCGAGAAACCAAAAGGAAAATCATCCCGTCAAGCAAGTGAAACCATGTCATCGAAAACGTTTAGCTTAGTCTGACAAACAACAGCAAAAAAAAACAATGAAAAAGAGCTGGCGATTGTGATTGAAAAGCTGCTGCTCACGAAAGAACTGTGATATGTTTGCGTAGATGCCGGGAAGGGCAAGCAAGCCGCGACTGATGTGAACGGCGCGTCCAATGGAGATGCTGAAGAGCACGATGACGAAGACGAGGACGACGAGGACGAGGATGCAACGGCCGCTGCAGGCACCTCTGAAGACGGCTCGACTCCAGTCAAGAAGCGTCGCCGCACTCACCAAAAGAAGCACAAGAAGAACAAGTCACATAATGCCACACCCAATGGCAAGCAAAACGGCAAGCACTAAAGCAACACCTAGCTTGTAAGCAACACGCTTCTCCGAGCAGCTGCTCGGTATGCTTTTTGGGTTTCTCTTTGATTGTCTCTAACGCCCTCCCTCGTTTGTGTGTATGTGTGTTGTTTTCATTTTTAGACTACCTTGCATTTGTCTAGTACAATGCTGTTTGGAGTGTCGAGTCAACGTTTGTTACGAGAGGTGCTTGTGTTGTTCCCCTGATGTTGTTTTTGGTCTGTTTTGTCCACCCCACAAAAACAAAATGCACAACGGTTTGGTCAATGACTACAAGTCTTCTTCGTCATGCATGGCAGTCTTCCCGTGTATCCCTCCCTGGGACGAGGAGGAGTCGGCGTTCTCATCCAAATGCCCTCGGCGAGGAATGCGGTTGAGAAGAACCTTTCGTCGCGACCCGCTGTCGGTCTGTCGCTTTGGCTGGCGTTTTCGCGCCTCGGCATTGGCCGCCTCTGCTTCAAGACGCTTCTGATAAGCAGCGTCTTCTGCCGCCTGGGGTGCACAAACGAACATGAGCAACCAGAAGCCCCCCCCCCTCCATTTTGAAGTACAAGACAGAAAGCTGGATTGTTGGGGCAGTTTACCTTCATTTTTGCTCGCTTGCCAAACGGATTGACGAAATTCTCATCCTTGGGGATGATGTTTGCTTCTTGTTTGAGCTGTTCGTCCGTCCATGCAAGACTTGTGAGTCAACGCCTCCCCAAATGCTCACCTCACCTCCCCTTCCCAAATACGTACAAGGTCCAACACGTGGAGATCATTTTCAGAGTACACGGGAGATTGCTCGCCCAGAAACAAAGCCCACATGAGAAGATCGAGCCGGACTTGGTTGGAATCCACTAAAGGGTGAACAATCGCTGGAAATCGCAACATCATGTCCGCAAAGAAGACGAGATTCTCCAGAACGGACGAGAGAGCATCGTGTTTGACCAAATCGGCGGCCGGAATCGCGTCTCCAGGCTGCACGCCATCGAGAGTGGCTCTCGACTTCTCCAAGACCTTTGGACAAACCGGCAATCAGTGGAAGGATGTGAGTCCTACGTTCCCCAATCTTCCACTAAATAATTCGCTCTTGCCACAGGCATACCTCAAAGACGGTGGAGATGAGCGTCGGCAGCAGTTTGCTCTGATGCTTTGGTTGCATTTGCAGCATCCGCTCAACGGCGTCCAAGTGCTCGACGCGTTTTGTCCGAAACAGCCTCGCATCTGTCATTTCCACAAGGTGGACCGCGAACAGGAGTCGGGGTGAGCAACAATCCACTTTGGAACTGGATCAAGCGTAGAATGACGACTCTCATTCGCTCAGATTTTGACGCCTAGTCTTCGAAGGGAATGTCAATGCAACGCCTCACACATCAGCTGCGCCTCGTCCGGAATGTCTGGGGCAGCAGCAGCAGCAGCAGCAGCAGCAGCATCAGCAGCAGTATCCTCAATGTCGGCTGCAGCAGTGGGAGCTGCGAGCCGAGCCCGATGCGCGGGTTGAATTGCGCGGTGCTTGTTGAGCTGCTTGGCTCGCATTGCTTCAGGAGGCACATCAAGATGTGCAGCGTCGCCAGCGCGGTCGGTGGTGCTCGCTGGTCGCTGCGCTGAAGGCGGGGGCGCATCGCCGGCGGTGCTGGCAATCAGCGCGGCTGCAATCACCGCCATTGCTAAAACGAGTCGACTTCTGAGCATCTGAGAGTCGGGTGTCACACAAACAAGCGGATGATGATGAAAAACAAAAAACACGACTGCTCAGGAAATTGCAAGCATCGAAACGAAAACTCTATGTATCCGTCTCCTCATCACATCCAGGTTCGGAAAGGATGAGAGAAAAAGGTGTCCTTCATAAAGCGCCATGTCTGATACTGTACTTCCACGTGGAGATGGCGATCAACAGCAATTGTGCGCGGCGTTTTATAGTACAACAACAAGGAGATGGAGGCGGGGGCTGGGGAAAAATCACCAGTCCCAACAACAACAACCCTCTCTCTCCTTTTGCATATTTATTGCGAGTCAGAAGAAGCATTGGTTTTGCGCTCAAATCGCTGGGCGAGACGCTTGCTGAGCGGCTCAACGCGCTCGAGCAAGGCACGCTCGGCCAACAAAATGCCAGCCGTGATGGCACATTGGAGGAGAAGGGCGCCAAAGCCACGGAAGTAGCTACGAGATTGAACTACAGCCTGTGCAGCGTCGAAAAAGCTCGCAAACGACGAAGATGCGGCAATGACGTCAAGCCCAGTATCTGGGTTGTCAATCAGCACACGCGAGCCTTGGGAATACAGTCGAACGAGGCATGTTTCAACAGGCAGCAAGAGCACATCGGCGACAAGCGTGCCGGCAGTGACGCCAAACATGGTTCGGACGAAATCTCCGGTGGCCTGCTCCCGGCGAGAGTAAGAAGGGTCCTCGGACTCGCCTTTGGGATGGCGCACTCGCAGGGCATCGTGCAGCGTTTCAATCACCGCTTGGCTGACTTGGCGCTGAATCCATCGAGCGGCTGCAAAGTAGCCAACGGTGGGGAGCACAAGCGTGGTAAAGGGAATGGGACCCGAAAAGAACGACTCTCCATGAGCGGCTGTCAGTCCCAATAGCCCGCCAAGGCCGCGGCCAACAATTGCTCGATCGGCAAAGAAGCGTCCCAGCCAGAACATGAGATTGTCAGAATCACCACCCAGCTCGGCAGACAGCGTCGTCATGACGCTCGTAAAGTAGAAGGGCATGGTGGGAAGAGTTGCCAAGCTGGAAACGTACAACGGAAAACACGTTCGGAATTGTTGAGCATCTCTCCGTTCAAAACCCATCAAATCAAGACTGCTGCGAAAAAAACCCTTACGTGTTGAGAGCGAAACGGTTGTACCAAGGTAGCGGCATGCGAAGGGACTCTGCTTCAGCAGCTTGAACCAGGATGCCACGGTCTGTTGCATTGCTGGGCGACGCCAAGTAGGCCTTGATCAGTCGTGGCTTGATCCAGAGAGTTCGGTAGGCACGCTCCAGAACTGTCCGCGCGGCAATGAACATGGCGTCCGCCAGCTGAGGCGTGCAGAATCCCTTCAGCAACGAGCCAGCACCTGTACGTTGGCCAATGTTGTATGCGACCGACAGGTACGAGAAAGGCGACCAGTGGCCTGCATGGAATTGGTTGACCTGAGTCGGGTACCCAGAGCAAAGGGGCAAATTGAAAAACGAAAGATGAACAATGGAAAAAATCACAAAAAAAAAAAAAAAAAAAAAAAAGACCCAAGTTGCATGGGTGAGTTTGCCGGTGAGAAGACAAGCCGATTCGCGGACATTCGATTGAAGAGACGTTTTACCTGGGCTTGATGGCGCAGCACGACCAACGGATGCGTCAAAAAGGTGTCCAACGAAAATCTGAGAAACCAGGTGCAAAAATCAAGGTGAATTGGGCAATTTCTCAACCAATAGCTGCACATCACTTCACGTAAGCTCGTCGCTGCTGCATGATGATAAGAATGACGACGACGATGATGATGACGACGACGAAACGTCTGTGTGTGTGCTCGCTTGACAACATTGTACTTACGCAGAGACGCTGATGCCAAGACACAGGACATGAGTGATTCGCTCTGTCGTGATTCGAATAACGAATCGAGATATTCCACCAAAACAACAAATTCATCAAGAATCAGGCAACGAGATGAGTCGATCGTAGCGCTTTTGAGTGCAATGGAGCACGACCAATGGAGCAAGCATGAAAGCGGCGGGAATGGGGGGTCAGGTTTCTGGTTTACCTGACGTCGTGTTGCCTGCCGTCGGACGCGACGCAGCACTGACAATCGTGTTCTGGGCAATGACGAGATCGCGCGCACGGTTGCGGCTGGCGGCAGCACGAGCAGCGAACGCAGCCGAGCCGGCCGAGTCGGTCAGCGGCAGGGCGTTCTCGGCCTCGAGCGCGCGCAGCGTCGACAATCGCGTGGAGGGCAGGGTGGTCACAGTGTGGGCTGCAGGAGTGCTGCTGCCTGGCTCCGCTGGGCTCGTGGAGTGCGAGCTTGAACTCGAGCTGCTGCTGCTGCTGCTGCTGGCTGCTGACTGTGACCGCAGCGCTGTCGGTGGCACAAGCGTCATGGGTTTGCTTTGCTTTGCCTGTTTGAATAGGAGTACTGCGTTGGTTTGTTTGATGCTTTGATGCAATGTCAAAGGCGAAGGGGAGTCGCAAGGACAGCGAAACCAAGACCAGAAAGGGGGAAACGAGGACTGCAGACCTCGTTTGTCGGTTCTACTGAACGGATGCAACCACCGATGCATGGTCTTGTTGTGGATTCAGATGTGCCAGATGTGTATGTAGTGTATTCTGTCTCGCAGATGTGGCGAAATGGTCTCGTTTGCGACTTGCAAATTTGCAGATTGCTGAGCGCTTTTCTGTTTTTTTCAGTTGACGCAGAGGGACCCTCCATTTTGCTCGGAGCTCAACTCAAACCAGCGTTATTTCGCAATTTGTTGCGATAGATACGTACAGCGAGCCAGAAGCATTATTGTTCACTTGGTCTAGTTGAAGAAATGCGCGGGATCTAGGGTATCCGGTCGATTTACAACCTGCGCAACTTGGCACTGGCCCTTTTGGACAGTATCTGCACAGTGCGGCGGCGCGCTTGAAAAGCAAGAATCACAAAATCATTTTTTCGTTGCGCCACGAGGTGCGTGGCAAGTGCAGAGCACTGAGGGCTCCGGCGGGGAATTTTTTTTTTACCACTTTGAGCAGACTTGAAAACCTTCACCAGCTGTGGTAAAAGGCTTCCAGCCCTTGTCGACAAACACGCCACAACCTCGGGAAAGTGAGCGTACAGGAACCTTCTGCCTCGATGAAGCCGTGTACTGACCACTCAGCGAGGTGTGGCTTGCACTTTGACAAAACCCGGTGGACGCTGTAAATTGAGTAGTCGATTCAGGGGCCGTGTTACGAATGCGCAAAACGTATGTTCCATGCTCTGCTGTTATTCCTATTGACTTGCATGCCAGACATCACCCCTGTATGAGCATGCACCACGCTTGTGCAGCTGCAGTAGGCGTGGTGCGGTAGAATTTGCACCGCTGGTTTCCTCGATGCTCCAGCCGTTCCCCATCCTTTTTTGTCTTTGCAGCAGCAGCGCGTGGCAGCGGATTCAATGATCACCTTTACGAGCATGTGTCACTCTCGTGCGCCCCCCCCCCCGACAGCAAGTTGCGGTGGGCGTGTTTTTGCTCCCCGATGTGCGCTCCGACCGCTCGTTCCTCTGCTGTCGCCCTGTTTTCTGTTCGTATTTTGCAGCAATCACTGCCACAAGCCTGCTGTCGACGCTCTTTGACTTACTTTAACTTTCTTTGACTTGCTTTGTTTGGCTTTCTTTGGCTTTGTCTTTGATTTTCAGTCTTTTTTTGTTCCCTAGTTCATCATCAATGGCGACCACAGACACCAGCGTGACTGTTCACGGCGGTGCGTTGCTCTCCCCCCTTCCCCCGCTGCTGCTTCCCCTCCTCCCGCCTCTTCCGTTCTCTCTCTTCTGCCTTGTTCCTCTGCGTCTTTGCCTGCGTCTCCAGCATCGCGTTGTGATCAAACTGGACGAGAGGACAACAAAAAAAAAAAAAAAAAAAAGAAAAAAAAAAGGCATTTTTATTAATTCCATTCCTGGGCTCTTTTTTTTTTTTTTTTTTTTTTCCTTGCTTTTTGCGTTGTCGGCGATGTGCATGTCTGCCATCCTTGCGTCGCTCGTCCTCCGCCTCTGCTCCTGATTGCACACACAGGTGCCTCCCAGACCAGCAGCTGGGACAGTGGAGCAACTGAGCCCACGGCAAGAGCAAAGTGAGCGAGCCTGGCAAAACGTCTTGATCGAACAATGCATTTTTCGATTTTTCGATTTTTCTTCGTTTTCCCTTTTTCCCATTTCCTTCGCATTCGCGTTCTCTTGGCTCTGTTGCTTGTCGGTCACGCCGCTCCCGTCGGCTGAGCCCCCGTTGGTGTGAGGCGTGAACGGACGCGATCGCGTGGCTTGGAAAGCGCGGATGCACCAAATTCCGCCCACAGACACGCACACGACTGCGGTCTAGCTCTTGCGACTGCGGTTTTTTTTTTTTTTTTTTTTTTTTGCTTTCATCCATCATTCCAACTCGGGTTTTGGTACTTTGGCTCCGTTAGTCGATCGTAGCAACTCGTCTTTTTTCCTCTTTTTCTTTTTCGCTTTTTTTTTTTCAAATTTTAAAATCAAAACGTTTCTCCATTCCATTTCGTTTTTTTTTTTCTCGTTTTGAGAGGGCGTTTGCGTTTTGCTCTTCCGCGCGTCTCGTCGCTCGGCTGTTGCGTGCGCTGACATTGTTTACTTGCACTGACGCGCTTCGCTTCCAATGCGACGTGCGACGAGCGTCAAACGTGAACAGAAAAGCGTCGCTTGCGACATTGTCAGTTTTTCAACTGCGTTTTTTTTTTCCTTTGCTTTTTTTTTTTGATTTTTTTTTTAAAAATGGAAAGCCTTTTTTTTTTTTTGAAATTTTCTTCCTTTTTTTTTTTTTTTTTTTTTTTGTTCAATCTTTGTCCTGGTTGCTCTTCGTCATTCAACGGGCGTCGCTTTGCTTGATATCGGCGGCAACTGTGCATGTGCGCCAGTCTGTCAGTCAGCCACACACACACACTCACACACTCACACTCACAATGCAAAACGCAAACCCTTTTGCTTTTTTTTTTTTGAGTCATTCCAACTGATTTTTTTTTTTTTTTTTTTTGCTTTGCATTGCTTTTTTGCTTTTTTGCGTTGCTTTTGGCTGCAGAGTCTCGCAAGCTCATCAAGAAGGACGAGGAGGCCTCCAACGCCGGCTCGGGCCAGTGGATGGACGAGCAGCGCACGTCGCTCGTCGCCTACGAGTACCTTTGCCATCTCCAAGAAGCCAAACAGTAAGCAGATTTCTTTCAAACAAGGACAATCTTTTTTTTTTTTTCTCCTTTTCTTCTCCCTTGTTCTTCTCCTTTTGTTCTCGGTTTGCTCTATTGCGCGCTCACTTTGCCGCAATCCGCAGGTGGATGGAAGCATGCATCCGCGAGGAGCTGCCTGCAACCATCGAGCTCGAAGAGAACCTGCGCAACGGCGTCATTCTCTGCAAACTCGCTCAGTTCTTTGCGCCCGAAGGCTCCAAGCCAAAGAAGATTTACGATGCAGACCAAGAGGTGTACAAGGTATGGAGCACAAACGAACAAACAAACAAACAAAAAAAAAGGGGGGGGGAGGCGAGAATCTGCCCATTTTGAAACAAACTCATTTGCGTTGTCCTCTTGTCTTTTTTTTGTTTTGTTTTGCGGCTGGTTTTTTTTTTGGGTGTGCAGAACCAAGGCCTCAAGTTCCGCCATACAGACAACATCAACCACTGGTTTAACGGAATGGCAGCAGTGGGCTTGCCCAAGCTGTTCTACCCAACCACTCCCGATTTGTACGACAAGAAGAACCTGCCCAAGGTCATTTACTGCATCCACGCGCTGAGCCACTTCTTGTACCGCAAGGGCATTGCGCCAAAGATTCTTGATCTTGTCGGCAAGGCCCAGTTCACCGAGGAGGAGATTAGCGCCATGAACAAGGCGCTGTCCGAGTATGGCATTGAAATGCCCAGCTTTGGCAAGATTGGCGGCATCCTCGCCAAGGAAATGACCGAAGACGACGCTGCCATGCACGCTGCCATCATTGCCATCAACGAGGCTGTCGACAAGCAGGTCGCCCCAGACACATTCCACGCCCTTCAAAACGGCGCCGCCAACATTGAGGGCACCGAGGAGCGCTGGCAACAAGAGTACCAGGATGCGCTGTTTGCCTCCAAGAAGGCCAAGGCGGATGCGTACGACCAGAAGCAGGGCGCCGAGGGTGCCGACACTGCCTCGCAGGACGTGTACGACAAGCTGCTCACCAAGAGCCAAATCCAAGAAGTCATCCTCGATGTTCACCACCAGCAGGCGATCGCTGCCATCAACGCTGCCATTGACGCCCGCGATGAGCAGGGCCTGTCTGCCGCGCTGGTCAATCCCCACGCCAAGCTGGTCTCGATCAAGGCCGAGTATGCCAGCTCGTACCTGCCCGCGCTCGTTGCCGCCAAGGCTGAGAAGGCTGCCCATGGCGGTGCCTCGATTGCACCTGCCAAGTCGGTCGACCAGCTGTCGGACGACCACGTCCAGGCTGCCGAGCAAGTCGCTGCCGCTGCCGCTGCCACCAGCGCCGCCGCACACGCTGCTGCCAACGAGGCCGCTGCCGAAAGCTCTGCCGCTCAGACTGCCGCCGCCGCCACTGCTGCCGCTCTTGCCACCGCCGAGGCCACCGAAGGCGAGGAGCGCGAGAACGCTGTTGCCACCGCTGCCGCCGCCGCTGCCGAAGCTGCTGCTGCTGCCGAAGCTGCTGCTGCTGCCGAAGCTGCTGCCGCAAAGGCATCCGCTGCCAGTGCTGCCGCGTTCGCTGCTGGCACCAACGCCACGCTCGCTTCGGAGGCTGCGTCGGCCGCCAAGAACGAGCACGCCTCCAAGGCTGCCCACGCTGCTGCCGCCGCCAAGGCGAGCAAGTCGTCTGGCGAGCTCACCCAAGAAGAGATTCAGCACGTCATTGTTGAAACGAACAAGATTCGCGAGCGTGAAGACTATCTCAAGGCCAACGAGAAGCACATCATCACTGGCCAGGCTGGCATTCGCGGCTTCCTCGAGCGCAAAAAGTTCAACGACCAGAAGACGCACTGGAACAACAACCTGGCTGCCATCATCCGCATCCAGGCTTGGTACCGCGCGCGCAAGCAGCGCAAGGCCTACCTCGACCGCCTTGCCTTCCTCAACTCGCAGGTTGACGCTGCCATCCGGATCCAGGCACTTGTCCGCGGCTTCCTGCAGCGCCGCAAGTTCAACCGCCGCCTCGAGTACTTCCGCGACAACAGCAAGGCTGCCGTCAAGATCCAGGCCTGGTGGCGTGGAATCCTTGCCCGCCGCGTCTTCCGCGACTTGCTCAAGAACGCGAACGTGCCCGCCACGACGCTGAAAAAGTTCCTGCACCTGCTCGATCAGTCCGACTTGGACTTTTCCGAGGAGCTCGAGCTCCAGCGTCTGCGTGCAAAGGTTGTCCTGCTCATCCGTGACAACCAGACGCTCGAGAAGGAACTCAACGTCATGGACATCAAGATTGGTCTGCTCGTCAAGAACGCCATCAACCTCGATGACGTTGTCAAGCAGTCCAAGAAGCTCAAGAAGCGCCAGGAGGTTGACGCCAACAACTCTGCCGGTCTCAAGGCCCTGTCCAAGGACAACCGCACGCGCCTCGAATCGTACCAGCACCTCTTCTACCTTCTCCAGACCAAGCCGCACTACCTCGCCAAGCTCATCTACGTCATGCCCCAAACCAAGACGTCCAAGTTTATGGAGAATGTCATCTTCACCCTGTACAACTTTGCCCAGAACGCCCGCGAAGAGTTTTTGATGCTTCAGCTCTTCCAACAGGCCATTGTGGAGGAAATGGAGCGTGTCACCGAGCTGAGCGACTTTATTCGTGGCAACCCCACCGTCATCAAGATGGTCGTCCAGTACAACCGTGGCGCTCGCGAGCGCCTCTACTTGCGCGAGCTGCTCCAGCCGCTCATCAAGGAGATTCTTGACAACCCCGACCTCAACCTGAACACGTCGCCCATTGCCATCTACAAGGCGTGGATTAACAAGACGGAAATTGAAACCGGCAAGGCCTCCGAGCTCCCGTACGACGTGACCAACGAGCAAGCCCTCGAGCACCAGTACGTCCAGGAGACGTTCAAGCAGCACCTCGACCACCTCAAGGCCATCACGTCCAAGTTCCAAAACGCGATCGTTGGTGCGCTGCCCCGCCTGCCGTACGGTATCCGCTACATTGCCATGCAACTGCGCAAGGTCTTGCACTCCAAGTTCCCCGACCTGCCGAGCGAGGAGATCACCAAGATTATTGGCAACCTCGTGTACTACCGTTACATGAACCCGGCCATCGTCGCTCCGGATGCCTTTGACGTTGTTGACGTTGCCGTGCAAGAGTTGCTTTCGACCAACCAGCGTCGCAACCTTGGTGAGGTTGCCAAGATGCTCCAGTTCATGGCCAGCCGCACCACCTTCCGTGACGCGTACGACTACTTGGCCACCCTCAACCCCTTCATGCTGGAGGGCTATGAGATTTTCAAAAAGTACTTTGAGCAAGCCTCCACCGTGCCCGAGGCTGCCGAACACTTTATTATTGACGAGTATTCCGACCTCACCATGCGTGCCAAGCCAGTCATTTACATTTCCGTCAAGGAAATCTACTCGACGCACAAGCTCATCGAGGACAGCCTTGCCGAGCTTGCCCCCACAGCCGAGGACCCGCTGCGCGTCATCATGAAGGAGCTTGGCCCCGCTCCCGAGTTTGGCGAAGGCGAGGAGAGCAATGCGGAGGCCTTTGGCGACATCTCGCTCACCCTTACCAACCGCTTTGCGCTGCCCGAAGGCGACGACTCTGATGTCCGTGCCCTCTTTGTGCGCACCAAGCACCTTGTCGTCAACATTGTCCGCTGGCAACAAGGCAAGACGCTGGCTGCCATTCTCAACACTCCCGCCTCCGAAGAGCAGGAGGAGCACCACATGCAGTACACCATCCAGCAGCGCGCCCAGCGCGAGCGTCTCGAAAAGACAGAGACCGAGGAAGAGCGCAAGCGTCGCTCCACTGTCCTGAAGGACATGGACGCTGGCCTCACTCTCAGCGAGATGAAGAAGAAGGTTTTGTCCAACGTGGCTGCTCTCGAGAAGGCTGGGCTTGTTTCGTCCAAGAACGATTACCAAGACTTGCTCAACGCGATTGCCAAGGTTTGTTGACTGTTGGGTTGGTGTCGAATGTGGTTTTTCCCTTTGGTGTTTGTCTTTTTTTTTTCTTTCTTCGACTAACCTCCTTTTCTCTACTTTTTTTTTTGGCCCATCACAGGACATTCGCAACCAGCACGCTTACCGCAAGTTGCGCAAGGAAGAGCTTTCCAAGTTCCGCAAGACTGCCGCCAGTCTTGAGGAGAAGGGCAAGTACTTTGAGCAGCAATCCGACTCGTTCCACGAGTACATTAAGCGATGCATGGAGAACATGGCCAAGGGTGTCAAGCCACGGTATGTTTTTGTTGTCTCTCTGTTGTGTGCAAAGTGTTGTCTTTTGATTTGTCGTTTCTTATCTTGTTTTGTTTTTGCTGACTGGGTCCTCTTGTTGTTATTGTTATTGTTTGCAGGCGCCGTGGTTTCCGTGCTCTGTTCTCCAAGAAGGTCGATCTTGCTGGTCACCAGTTCGGCACCCATTCGTACACTGCTAAGCGTTTGAAGGAGAAGGGCATTATTTTGGAGCTCGAGGGCGTCCCAGAGAGCAGGTTTGTGGTTTTTTTTTGCAAACTTTATTGCTGCGCTGCGCATTCCCGTGTATGGATTAGTGCTCACTTTTTTTTTTTGTGCCTTGCCCGTTTGTGTTTTGTTTTTTCCAAATAGCTGGGGCACTGTCAAGCTCACCATTTCCTCCAACGAGGTGGGTGTTTTCGAAGTGTCTGCATCGTTCATGGGCGTCAAGCAAGACGACATGGAGCTCCACCTCGAGGACTTGCTGCAGCTGCAGTATGACGGCGTTGCTGTCATGAAGCTTTTCAATGCAAAGGTCAACGTCAACTTGCTGCTGTTCTTGCTGAACAAGAAGTTCTACAACAAGCACAAGTAAAACAACCCGACGCCGTTTTTGCTGTGTTTTCGCCTCTTGAGTATTCTGTTTTTCAAAGTTTGCACCTATTCATTGTGAATGATGTGTCTGTTCATGTTCTTATGTGGTGTCGGAGACTATCCTCTGGCTTTTTGTCGTTCAGTATTTTGTCAATTGTTTTTTTTTTTTTTTGGGTTGGTCTGAACCCCACTTCCATGTGTTGTGCACCGTCACCAATAAAACCAAAATGAATAACTTTTGTGAGCAAAAAAAAAAAACAACAACAAACAAAACAAAACTTCCAAAAAACAACACATCCCATCTGTATTTGTGCATCGTTGACATCGAGTCTGGCTGTCACCCCTGCGCAAAACGTTTGGAGGGGTTGGCAGCGAATGATTTGAGGGGATCGGCCTTTGCAGGACGCTGTTGGACGAAAACACAAACACACTGCTAGTTAGCACTTGCGCATTGCCACCAAAGTAAAGAAGAAGAAGCAGAAGAAGAAGAAGAAAAAAAAAAGCGCGCGTTCTTATTCGGCTTTACCTTCATGCCGCGATGGGGTTGCTTTCCACGGTGTTTGGTGTTCGGCTTCGGCTCGCTTGCTGCAAGGTCTTCCTCTGCTTCGGGTGCCTCTTCGGCCGCCTCACCATCGACAGCCATAGCAGCCGCCTCCGAAGTTGCCGCAGGTGCCAGCTTCTTCTTCATAAGCGACTCGGGCATGAGGTAAGAGGGGATGTGCTTGAGATGTGCTTGGATTCGCGCAGGATGCGAAGGCTTGTCGTGGCGGAGAGCTTCCAAGTCTTTGGGATTGTCTTCAAAGTACGCCTGGCCGCAGAGAAAACAAAAGCCGAAGCGGAACAAAACCAAAGCATGAGGTTTTTTTTTGTTTCAACGCATTGAACCAAAAAATTGTCAAAAAGCACCCTCCTCTCCCAAACACTTGTTATTACCTTGAGCTTTTGGGAATTAAAAATTTCATTCTTGATTTCCTTCAATCGGGCCTCCTTGACTGAAGCCGCTGTGACGGCGCGGAGAGCATCGGCCGCACGATAACGAAAGGCGGCAATCTCATGCATGGCAAACTGGAATTGCTGGAACTTGTGTCCAGAATTGTGCTCTATGCCATCAATCAAAGCCAAAGCAGATTCAAGCACCATTAGCTACAGTACAAATGCAAAAAAGAAAAAAAATCGTACCGACTGGCCTCCACCACCAATGAAAGCAAGTCGCTGGGACGTACTCGAAAGCTTGCGCTGAACGATGGCGAGCCGGCCTTCATCCTCGGGTGCAATGAGAGACAGAGACTGGCCGCTCTTGTCACCACGAGCGGTTCGGCCGACGCGATGCACGTACGATCGTGCAGTTTCGGGAAAGTCAAAGTTAATAACGTTGCTGACGTTCTGGAAGTCGATGCCACGCGCGACACCGTACTCTGAATCAGCGCCGGCCTTGCGCCCAGCCTTTCGCTTCGGGCGTTGCTGCGCTTTGCCCTTGCTGGCGGCGGCAGTGGCAACGGGTTCAGCACTCGCAGTCGCAGTGGTTGTGGCCTGCTCGGCGTCGTCGTCATTCTCAAACACCGCCTCAACAGTGTCCGTTTCGGCAGTCTCGTTGGACTCTTCTTCGTCATTGTCCGAGTCCGAATCCGAGTCGTCAACTTGCGAGTTGCTGTCGTGCTCGTCCGTGGCAATAATATAATCGTACACGCCTCGATTGAATTCCTGGACAATATGATAACTGTACCAGAAGCAGATGCGACATGGTGAGATGCAAAAAACAAAAACACAAAATCCAATCACATGGAGATGAAGCACACATGCGATCGATGCGGGTGAGAGACCGCTACATGTTGCATACCGAGAGTTTTGCGGAAGCTCGGAATTCAAGACGCAGGCGCGAATGCCAAACTGCTCCAAGAACAACTTGACACGGTAGCAACGATCGACGTCATTCACAAAAATGATTGTTTTCCCGCGAAGCAGGCGCAGCTTCAAGAAGGTGAAGACGAGAAGGAATTTGTCGTTCATGTCGCATCTGCATGGAAACGAAATGATCCCCGCGTGAGAAACCAAATCCAGCTGCAAGAATCCTTCAATGCATCCCCATACACACACTTCCCCGCCCGCCCCTTTCCCCCTTCCCAACCCCCCCCCCAACCACAGCAAAAACCACAACAAAACCTCTCAACAACGTTACTTGATCACGTATTGCATCAGCCGATCGGCATCGGGAAGTTGGGATTCTTGCAGCTTGAGAATGACAGGCGAGTGCAACATCAGTCTCTTGAGTGAGTCAACATCGGGGCTCAAGGTGGCTGACATCAGGAAGGCCTGGACAATGCGGGGGAGGTGGCGCAGCAGCGTTTTAATGTCATTTTCGTAGCCAAAGCCGAAAACGAGATCGGCCTCGTCGACGACAATCATCTGAAGCGAGGTGCGCACATCCAAGTGTCCGGCCTCAATGTGCGCGACAATACGACTCGGCGTGCCAATCACAATGTCGGGGTTGGCGAGCAGCTCATGCCGTTGCGCCTCAATCGCCGTTGCCGATGTATCTCCGGCCAGCTCGACCGCAGTCACCTCTCGAGAGCAGTACTGCGTCAAGTCCTTGAAATTCTGCTTGGCCTGGAGACTGAGTTCGCGCGTGGGGACGAGCACGATCGCCTTGACGCTTGCTCCAGCTGGAGATGCATGGCTTGAGGAAGCAACGGCCGCCGACGCTGCATTGGAGACATTCTTCTTGCCGCCCGTGCCAGCGTTCTTGCCTTGCTGCTTGTTGCTGCTGCCGCTACGCGCAGCATTCGAAGTCGCCGAGGCCGCCGAAGCGCCGTCTTGGACCTGCTCGACCGCGATCGCCGCGGCGGCCGTGTCTGCCAGAATGCGCTGGATGACTGGGATGGCATACGCCGCCGTCTTGCCAGAGCCCGTGCGAGCGCGCGCCAGGATGTCCTTGCCCTGCAGAGCGAGCGGGATTGCTTTGGCCTGTGACCCCAGAGCGACGCAGCGATGAGAACAGGAGTGAGACACACGAGACAAGTGCGCGCGCAAAACCACCAACCACCACTCCATCCCGGTTGATTGCGCTCAACGCTGTTGTGCGAATGTGCCAGTATCGTGCGAGGGTTCAGGGGGCGGGCGGGCGGACTGAGCATGGTCGCTGTGCGTGCAGCCATGTGTGCGCAAAGCAAGACGGACGCGGTCCATGTGGTGCAGTCACCCCTCCGCTGCGGGAGCTCAGCGCCTCAGCCAGGCCACGGCATGCAATGGAAGGGAGAGAGAGAGAGAGCCTGGCGTGGTGATTGGAGTATGAGGGGACGGTGGGGGGGTTACCTGGATGAGCGTTGGGCGCGACCAGCCGAGCTTGGCAATGGCGCGCTGCAGCCGCGGATCGAGCCGCAACGCATCGAATGACAGAACGTCCGACATTGAGAGGATGTGTAGAGTGAAGAGTGAAGAGATATCGGATGAAATGATTAAAAAAGAGCGCATTCATGTCAATGTGTAATTGAGTGGGAGGAGGGCGAAAGACAATGTGAACAGTACAAGGCACACATTCACACACATTCACACACACACACGCGCCATAGGACTGTTCAAAAAGGGACACAAACAAAACAACTGTTCAAATCTCGGCAATGTAATTGTAAGGAAGCAGGCCTTCGGGACCACCGGGAATACGAGCTTGCCACCAACTGTGGAACCAAACAAAGAAACAAATGCAACAAAAGAAACAAAGCACCTCGATGAGTCGCAAACCAAAAGAAGCCACGCCCCTTGCACCAGAAGCAATCCTCCCTCTTAACAATGCACCGTACCCGTCTTCGTTCTTGAGGATAATCTCAATAATGTCGCCCTCGGACACGGAGATTTCGTCGGCCTTCTGTGCGGCCCAATCGTACATCATGCGTCCACGTGGAAGTGCAGGCGCTGCAGGCACAGGGGCGGGGGCAGGGGCTGGCGGTGGAGGAGCCTCTTCGGGCATTGGCGGTGGGGGAATGTCGTCGTCGGCTGGCGGAGGCGGCGGCGGCATTTCATCCATGTCCGGCGGTGGCGGCGGAGGCAAGTCCATCTCGACAGGCGGTGGTGGCGGCACAAACTCCTCCACGGCAGGCGGCGGGGGAACAAACTCTTCGACAGGTGGCGGAGGCGGCACAAATTCTGCGACGGGCGGCGGAGGAACAAACTCTTCAACAGGCGGCGGCGGGATGGTTGTCTGAGAGAGCGGCTTCGGCTTGACTGGTGGGACACCTTGAGGCTTTGACAAGGTGGGAGGAGCTTGTTTCGCGACTGGAGCAGCAGCCACAGAGGGAGCTGGAGCAAAGGCTGGAGTGCTGGGTGCAATGAACGGAGCAGCAGGCGCAATCGGTGCGGCCGGTGCAGCAGGCGCAATCGGTGCGGCCGGTGCAACTGGAGCGGCTGGAGCAACTGGAGCGGTCGGGGCTTTAAAGCCAGAAGGAGCGGTCGGCGCCACAAACGAGGCAGGTGCGCTGGGAGCGACGACCGATTGTGCAGGCGGGCCAACTACTGTCTTGCGAGCAGCCGCCTGGCGAGCAGAGCGACCAGAAATAGTGCCGTGGCGCATCCTGTCGTCCGGCACGCCGCTGTCATCGTCACCAAACGAAGTGCTGGTGCGCGCGCCTCCGACACCGACGCCGTCCAGCAGACCAAAGTTGACGCGGCATCGCCCGTTCGTCAGCGGGGTTTTGACTTCCAGCTGCGGAACCTGAGAGGCTGTGCAAGCAAACAATGATCAAACAAAAACAACCAATCACACCAACCAACACTACGTCAGGGTGACTGCATGAAAACCAGAGGGAGATGCTTGCATTCAGCTCCGCCTTACCAATCAGCTTTTGCGCCTTTGGCACGCGATCAAAGCAGCGCTCGACCAGCAAGTTGGTGTACACGTCCATGCCAGCACTCGCATGTGCCATTTGCAATTTCTATCATCCAAAAAAACAAAACCATGCAAAAGTTGGCCAACATAAACAGAAAACAAAAAGTGAGCCCTTTTTTTTTTTTTTTTTTTTTTTTTTTTTTTTTTTTTTTTTGCTGCTTTTTGGCTTTTTGGCTGGATTGTTATTGACTTTGAGCCCGTTTCAATCGCGTTGTTGCGCCCGTGCTGACGTCAGACTCGTCCCTTCTCCTCCCAATCGACCCAACTCGTTCATAGCGGCCAACACGAGAGCAGCAGTGGCACGGTCTGACTTTGGGGCACTCGGCTCGGCAGACCAACGAGAAGCGACAGATTCGTATTTTTTGTTCTGTTTTTTTTTTTTTTTTTTTTTTTTTTTTGTGTGTGAGTTGCGGGCCTGTTCCATTCGCCTTACCGCTTGGAGTGAGCTGGTGCGGAGGGTGAGGAGCTCCATGGCGTCGGTCTGGACGTTGAGCAGGTTGACGATTGCCTGGGCTGCGGCGTTGACCTGGTACGCGACGGCAGAGAGCGCGTCGACCGCGAACTTGCGCGATTCCGTCGACGCTTGCGCTGGCTTGGTTGCTGCAGTCTGGGCGCAGTACACGGCAAGGTCGCCCAGCGACTTGGCACTCGTCTGCAGCGCTTGCACGGTCGGCGCCACCTGGATTGCCACCTGCTGCACGGCCTCGCTCGTCGCCGCGCCGGCGTCGGCAATGATCGGAGGCATATTGAAAAAAAAAAAAAAAAAAAAAAAAACAAGGAAAAAAAGAGTAATCCGTTGACTTTTACCAAACACAGTTACTACTCTGAGGGGAAAAGGTGATTCGTGCATGTGCATGGCTGAGGTACTGTACTCAGGTGCAATGGAGCGAGTATTTGTGTTGGAATGGGGCTTTGGGAGCTCGTGTTGGTGTTGGCATCGTTCGTTGCAACCTTCTTCTGCTCATACCCTGCTCGCAGATGGCAAAATACATTTCATTGTTGAAGCAATACAGAAGCGTTGAATGAAAGCACAATCGGTTTACACCACGGACGGTGCCGCTGCCTCTGGGACGGTATGTGCGGGTGCAGCTGAAGCAACCGCGACAGGCTTGGCGGGGATGGTCAGAATAGTGCTCGCATCGCGGTCGGGGAAGACCTTGGACGCGTGCTCGGGGAAGAGCAACAAAAACACGTCATCGTACGACTTGACAAAGGAAACAGTGAATCGGTTGCGCAAAAACTCGGGCACCATCATGAACTGCGCGTAGCAAGCGTGAGGGAAGACGATATGCGTGGCCTGCGTGCGTGAAGCGCCGACGAGCTTTTCTTTGAGTCCGCCAACGGCCATAACCTTGCCCGTTACAATCAACTCTCCCGAAAGGGCAAACTTGCTCGGTACTGGAGTGTCGAGGGCAATGGACAGGAGCATGGAGGCAAGCACAATGCCGGCCGAGGGGCCGTCCTTCTTGATGGCGCCAGAAGGCGCGTGCAGGTGAATGTCTGATCGTTGCAAAGCCGTGTTCGAGGGGAAGTGGCGAACCATGAACGATTTGGCGAACGAGTGCGCAACCTTTGTGCTTTCAGACATGACGTCGCCAAGTTGACCCGTCACCACGAGCGAGCTCTTGCCGGATTCTTCGTGAATCCGAGTGACGACTGCTTCCATGGGCAACGCCGCGCCGCCTGAGCAAAAATCACGACAGCGTTGCAAATGCAAGCGGACATCAAAGGAGCAGAAAAGCCAAAATCAGTCAGTGAATCTTGAGGTTCAACAAGAAAAGAAAGAAAAAAAAAAGCAAGAAAGAAAAGCAAGAAAGAAAAGCAAGAAAATGCCAAAAGCACAAATGGAAACCTACCCATCTCAGTATAAGCAAGACCAGTCACAACACCAACAGGGTTGACCTCGAACAACGTCTCGAGGCGGTCGAAACGAGCAGGGCCAATAAAGTCTGCTAGGTTCTCAGGTGTGATGACAATGGCAGGAAGCTTGGACATGCGTTGGCGCAGGAACTCGGCGTGGTCCTTTGCGCGAAGCTGCTGTTCGACTTCGTACTGTTGTTGACGTTTCACGCTTTCCTCGGGGCTGAACTCGGGAATTTCGCTAATGTCGACAGTCGGGGTTTTGCCTGCACCACCTCGCCGGGAGAGCATGGCAGTGCCTTCTGAGGGTAGATCAGAGCGAGACACAGAGTCGAGTGCAGCCGATTGGGCCATCCAGGAAGTGGAAGCTACCGCAGCAACCGAACGACGCGGCGGTGGGTACGATTCACCAGCAGCTGCGGACAACGCTGATGCCGAGCCGCCGACGCTGGTCGCAGACGTGCTCGATTGGCTGCCCGATGCGCCACCGGCATCCAAAAGTGACTTGATGTTGAAAGCGGCCTTGTTGTAGACCTTTTCAATGTTGCGCTGGAGCTCACGCACACCATTTTCGCGCGAGTAGCAGTTGACGAGCTCCGCGAGTGCTTCGTCGGTGATGGTGACGCCAGCGTCGAGCAGACCGGCTTCACGGCGTGCTTTGGGTAGAATGTACTGCTTGGCGATTGCCAGCTTCTCTTCAAAGACATAGCCGCTCAGCTCGACAACCTCCATGCGGTTGAGCAGGGGAGCGCTGATGGTGCTGAGCGAGTTGGCCGTGCAGACAAACATGGTCTTTGACATGTCCAGCGGCACATCGAGGTAGTGATCGAGGAAGTTGCGGTTTTGTTCGGGGTCGAGCAGCTCAAGCAGGGCGGAGCCTGGATCGCCGTGCATGCCACGTTGGCCGAGCTTGTCGATTTCGTCCAGAACAATCAACGGATTCTCCACTTGAACAGCCTTCAGAGCAGCAACAATACGACCGGGGAGCGCCGCCACGTAGGTTCTTCGGTGACCCTTGATCTCGCTGACATCGTGCACACCACCCAAAGAGATGCGGTGGTATTTGCGGTTGAGGGCGTTCGCAATGGACTTGGCAATGCTTGTTTTGCCAACACCAGGCGGGCCGACAAGGCACAAAATCTTGCCGGACACGTTGCGATCGCGCAAAGAGCTCACCGAGACAAACTCGAGAATCCTGTCCTTGACTTCCTTCATGCCATAGTGTTCCGCATCGAGGATGCGCGCGGCTTCCGCAATATCGATTCGTTCGCTGTGTGCGTGGTAAAGGAGGTGGAGGAGTGGAGGTCGGTGTGGGGGGGGAGGAGAATGAGAAAGATCAAGTCACGAGTCAACAACAGGGAACGAAAAAGGAGGAAAAAAAAAACCGCAACAACAAGACACAAAATCGTACGGTGTGGCGATTCCCCAAGGAAGGCAGGTCAGCCAATCGAGGTAAGCACGAGCAGTGCTCAATTCCGAGGGGTGATCGTCCTCGCTCAGTAGCTTGCTGATTTGCTCGTGAATGATCGTCAACGCCTCCACGGGCACTCGCTTGCCAGCCAGGCGTTTTCGATACTTTTCGACAAGTCCGGCGTCTTTCTGCACGTCGAGAACGTAAAAAGGGTGAGATTGATCGAGAGGGGAAAAAGAAAACCTCAAAGTGAGAATCAGAAATTCAATGGAACGCACTCAAGCCAAACAAACTCAAGCCAAACGACCGCCCCCCATGCGCAAAACAGACAGAAAAAGGAACAAAAACACACGAGCCTCCACTAATGTCGTACATTTTCACCAAGTTCTTGCTTGAGCATGCGCATGCTCTCGAGCATGGCCTGGCGCCGCATCATGGTCGATTGCTTTTCCTGCATTTTTTGTTGGAGATTGCGCGCCGTCTCCATCTGAGCAATGGCATCACGCACGAGGTACGCAATCGAAACGGTTCGGAAGGCAAAATCAGGCTCTTGGAAGACCGTTTGGAACACCTTCAGAGGGGGATTGATGACAGAGAGCGCCATATAGCCGATAATGCTTGGTGCCGTGTTGCTAGGCATGCGAGAGTGTTCGCCCATCAGCAATTCGCGGAGAATAGATTGTCCAGATTCCAAATAACGTTGGAAATACTCGAACAGCATCGTAGTATTTGCTTGGATGGATGGGTCTTGGGCATCCACGGGAAAGTCGGGATGAAGCGACACGGTGCCCTGCCAAGGCCTGACGCTGACGACATTTTGGAGCGACACGCTGCAGGCCCAAAGTTGACACAATAGCAACAACCAGACACCACATCCACAACAAAATGGGGATGTCAGCATCACCGACAAACCTCTCTCGTTCAAAAGCACAAACGCATGAATCGCACGACATCAAGAGCGACGTACCGAGACCAGGTAAAATTGGCATGCAGAATGACAGGAGAATCGTCGGATTCATCGTGGACGATCGCGACACGCAACAGCGCGCCAACTTTGTGAATCTTGTCGGCGTCTTTGACTTGATAGAGCCACTCGGTTTCGTCGGCGACAAAAGGCACGGCGTCAGAGTCCTTGAGCGCAAACACACCCATGAGGGCAACACCGTTCACGGCGTTTTTGCGCACTGCAGCCACGAACGCATGGGATGATGGAAGATGCCATCGCACGCCAAGCCCGCAGAACGGCGCCCGACGCGCCATCAGGAGTACTTTTGGACTGGCTGCGACTAGGTCTCGAGCTTCCGAGGTGCTCATTGGCGTGGGTAGTTTGTGTTTCTGAGCCAACAACGAGAACCGGGGGAAATGAGTCAGTTTGCGTTTTCGTCAAAGCAACAAAAAGCAAAAGGAGAAACGGGCAAGAAGGCTGCGAGTGCAAAAAGCCAATGTAGCTCGCTCGACGCGACAAGCAAAAGCACTCAGAGTTTGATGCTTGATGTAATTTTCTCAGAAAGAAAGAAAGAAAGAAACAAACAAAAGGTTTCGTTTTCAATCACTGAGCCCACATGCAGGCGATGCTTCCATTTCAACGTCAACGCAAAACTAGTGCAGAGATGATAACTCGCTCGGTTGTTGATCGAAACAATCGAGACAAAAGCAATGTTGAAAAACAACAACGACGGAAAAAAAAAAGAAAGAAAAAAGATCTCGAAAAAAAAAAAAAAAAAGTCAAGAAATAGTGGAAAAAAAAAAACAAAAAACGTCCGCGTTTTCATGCTCTGGCGTTCAGAGTGAGGAAGCAAAAACAGGGGGTCAAAGTTTGGGGGGGGGGGGACAGGACGGCTGTACCTTGGGATCCGGTGTGGGCCCTAGCACGAGGAATCCAGGAAGATCCGTCTTGGAGCCCTTGCCAGAGCCGGGCGGTGGCGGCGGCTTGCGCGGCGCCATGAAGCGCGAGGCGAGCGACGAGAAGCCCCTCCGCGGCTGCTGCTGCTGCTGCTGCTGTAGGGACGCCGTTGCTGCACGGCCAAGCGGAACAAACACTAGATGGCCATGCACAAGCACAGGTGGACTGGCAGTCGGCAGAGCAGTCGCAGTGGTGGAGGTAGCGCCCGTCATCGCCGTCCTGCCGCGTGCTGATGCTGCTGCTGATGCTGCTGTGGATGGAGCCGAGGCAGCAAGCGATGAGACGGCGCGGCGTGCGGGAGTCGACGCTGCATCGACGACAAGGGGTGACCGAGGCAGGGCAATCGACGCGGCAGCAGCGGCGGCAATGGAAGACGAAGACAAAGACAAAGACGAACAAGAACGAGGCAATGTTACAACCACAGTCGACCGCGCCGCAGCTGTGCGCACAGCCGAAAACATTGGATGTGAAAGCAAAAAAGAATAGTAGTAATAATAATAGTGATAAAAAAAGATGAGTGGACGATTGAATGAAAGGATGAGGTGGGAAAAAACAACAGAAGAAGACGAGGTCCATCGCTTTCAACTGACCCGTTGCTTCCATCCCCCAACCAACCCTTCGAGTTGTACTGCACCATAGACCAAGCGTACCGTGTTCAATCGACTGTACTTGATGCATGCGCGCGCCCCCCCCCCCCCGCCTCCTTCCGCCTGCATTGGCTGGATTGGGGAATTCACATTTCTGTTTGCTTCAGCTCAGTCTATTTCCCCAATCGCCCAGTTTCCTTCCACATCCGATGGCTGGCCTGCACCCGGCTGGGATGTTCATCGCGCTGGACATGTTCTCTGCCGACCTGCACGAGGAGAGCGACCCCGCAGCAGCGGCTCAGGCGGGCGATGGCAGCGACGATTCCGAGGCATTTGAGCGGCAACAAGCAGCGGTGCCCAACCCGCCTGCTCCCAAGCGACAGCAGATTGCCCTCGAGCCCGAGGAGGAGATTGACGTCGAGCTCCAGCAGCAGACCGAGAAGGCTCTGTCGGCCAGAATGAAGGTGCGCTGTTGCGTTTGACTGACTTTGGAATTGCAGTCGGCGGTCGTCTTTTTTTTTTTTTTTTCTCCTTTGATTTTTCCTCTTCTTCATTGATTTTGCATTGAATTTTTATTTCTAACGCTGCCCAAACAAAAACCCCCCAACCAAAACCCCGTGCATCTGCGAATTTGACAGCAAGTGTTTGATCGCGCGTCGACCCCGACGCTGCTGGCTGGCGAGGTGACGATCAGCTCGGCCGAGTTTGTGGAGGGCTTCAATACGTGCTCACTGGAATCCGGCGTCTCGGGCTCGCTGTTCGTCACCAACTACCGCATGGCATTCGTCGCAACAGAGGGATCCTCGTACACCCATGGCACTGGCGCCAGCTCGGTGAGTCTGTCGCGCCATCAATCTCTCGCCTTCCCGTTGCAGGTCGATCCATTTTTTGTTTTGAAGCTCTCAACGCAGCTTTTTGCAAGGTTAATCAAGTCATGATCGAGCGGGCTCGAGCGTGTGTGTGTGTGTGTGTGTGGGGGGGGGGGGCGCGGAACCAAACCCGAAGCCTTGAACCATTCTGACCTTGGACTCGAAAATCTTAGACGTTTGACGAGAACGACGTCCCGCTGACCTGCATCGTACGCATCTACAAGATTATCAATGGCAAACGCACCCGCTTGGATGCAATGTTGCCGGAATCCTCTGCTGCATTGAACGCCATCGAAGTCCGTTGCAAAGTACGTTTTTTTTTTTTGTTTGTTTGAGGCAGGGGGGTTTTTTTTTTCTCGCTTGTGTTGTCAACAAGTCCCATGCTCACCAAACAAGCATTTCGCATCTCTTTCATTGTCTCGACACCCCCCCCCTCCCCAACGCCCCCTCTAGGATTGGCGACAGTTTAAATTCGTGTTTGCTAATACACCACGGTTCCAGGCCATCCGGCTCGTCAACGCGCTCTTTCACTACGCCTTCCCAACATCTGCCAGTCGCTTGTTTGCCTTCGATTACCGACCGCCAGTGGACGTTTACGAGGAAGTGGTCAAGGTCCGACACTCACTTGTGCGATCGTCGACGAATACCGTTGCCGGCGACCAGTCGATCTCCCCTCAGGACCTACGACGCGTCACAGATGCATGCATTCGCGCGTTGGTGCCAGATTCTGCCGTCACACCACCCTCGGAGCTAGAGGGTGCCAGCTCTGGAAACACACCCGCTCCGTCGTCGACGCACCAAGCTACAGTGCGTCGCTCGCACAGCTCTGGAGCCTCCTTTGTACTCAGCACTGCCATCCCGGAAGACGAGAGCAGCGGTCACTCTAGCGACACAGAGTCTGCACCCGGGAGCAGTCTGGCGCTGGACACGCTGGGCACCGCGAGCGGCGGCGGCACCTTTGGTACAAAACGGAAAAAGGCAGCCAAGCGTTCGTCGCTTGCCAGTCGGTTCCCTGGCAGAAGCCGCAGCTCCAGCACTCTACAAGAGCCCGAGCCGCCTTCCCCAGAAGCTGTCAAGCTCACACAACGGGTCAAGCTGTCGGGCATCGGCTCATCCTCTCCATCTCTCTCAGTGGGAGAGGCCACTCACCAGCGCAAGCTCTCCGAACGCAGCGAAACGGGCGACCTCAATCCCGCACTCGTGCCTTACTACCAACGCCGCCTATTCGAGCTGGCTTGGGAGGTGCATCGCTGCCATGCCGACCGCGACTTGCTGTGGCGCATTTCACGCGCGAACGTTGACTTTTCCGTTTGTGACACGCTCCCCCCGTTTTTGTGCGTGCCGGCCGCCATCACAGACGCGCAACTCGCTGCAGCTGCTTTACGGTTTCAAGATGGAAGGATCCCCACTTGGTGCTGGTCGTCGCCGCTCACCATGGCCACACTGACACGGTCGGCCCTTCCGCTCCCGCCTCCCGGCGCAGCTTCGAACACTGCTGCCAGTGGCACAGCACCCATCTCATCTCAGTCCCTGTCTGCCCTGTCCGCCAACGACGATCTGGTTGTCTACATGTCTGCCATGGCGATCGCCTCCTCTGGCCCGCACACCATTGTCAACGTCTCCAGTTCTGTGCCGACCCACGCTGCCCTACGCGACAGCTTTTTGCACTTGCAAGAGCTCTGCATGGGAGGTAAGTGTTATTTCATGATGGATTGCTGGATGGCATGGATTGTAGGTGCTTGATCGATTCTGATGTTCTGGTTTTCCTTTCTCTCCTCCCCCCCGTTGTTGTTGACATTGCTTTTTTGTGTTTCAGTGACTCCAAAGACCTTTTTGACTTCTGACCGTAGCTGGCTCTCCAGTCTGGAGGGCGCGAAATGGATTTCTCATGTGGAGCAGACGCTGACAACTGCCTCCAACGTTGCCGACTTGCTTCATGTTAAGCACACATCGGTTACCGTGCAAGGTATAGCCGTTTGTGATTTGCAATGCTGGCGTGGAGAGGGTTGGGGAGGAGAGTAGGAATTGTGCACTTTATTCCGGTGGCCTTTTTTTTTTTTTTTTTTTTTTTTTTTTCGGTTTTGTGTGGTCTTTGTGTTTTTTTTGTTGTTGTTGTTGACGTTTTCTCTTCGTTGTCTTTCTTCTGCTTTCCGCCAGGCGAACATCCTCGCGACTCTGGTTGCCTCATTGCATCGCTTGAAAAAATCCTTGTGGATCCCTTCTACCGAAAATTGCAGGATTCGAGCTTTTGATTGAGCACGAGTGGGTCGCTTATGGCCACCCGTTCTCGACCCGATGCGGACACATTACACGCCAAGCTGCTGACGAGTCGGAAGGTGCAAGCTCGCCCGCCCCTGGCACGGAAAGTTGGGCCAAGAAGCCTAGCTGGCTTCCGTTGACGCCCAACTCTGCGCCTTCCGATGCCGATCACGCTCCATACTTTTTGCTCTTCCTCGACTGTGTCCATCAGATCATGACGCAATACCCACTCTCGTTCGAGATGACGGAAAAGTACCTGATTACGCTCTGCGACGCAATGTGGGCATGCCTGTTTGGCACGTTTGTTTCAAACAGCGACAAGGATCGCGTGGATTCGAGCATGGAGAGTCGCACCGTGCCCGTGTGGGCGCATATGCATATTGTGCTCGAGCAAGATGGCGTCGACATGGAGTTTCTCAATCCGGCGTTTGTTGGACCGCAGTCGCTGCCCGCATCCTCGCACTCACAGCCCGCCTCAACCATGATCAATGCCATGAACGGCATGTTTGAATTGATGCCAGATCTGCATATCGAGGTTACACCGCCTGCTACTGCAGCTGCTGCTGCTTCGTCTGTCAGCAGCACTGCTCCATCCGGAAAGCACGCCAGAGTGGAAGAATCGTTCATTACTCCTCCCCCAATGCCGTACGTGCAGCGCTGCCCCATCACCTCGCACACGGATGCGTCTGTGGGTGCTCCTTTGGCTCTCACTCCGCAAGGCGAAGGACTCTTGCTCAACTTTTGGGACGTCAACTATCTGCGATGGGTTCCTCACGTCCGTCCTGCGTTTGTCGACGTGGCCTTCACCTCGGCCTTGTATCACACACGCGAGCTTGTCCACGAGGTCGCTCAACTCGAGCGACAGCGACAACGCCTTCAGCGCTTGCTGGCCGAGCGAACGACGGCGGTCTAGTTTGCTTGCTTCATGTCTTGTTGGTTGCGCAGTCGGTGTCAAATTTTGATGGTCGAGTTCACTCCTCCGTGTTCTGTTTGGTCGTGGTACATTACACCATTTTTACCCCCCTCCCTCCCTGTAATTCTCAGTTATGGTTGGGTTGCCCGACACGCTCCATGATTCCGCACATATTTCAGGAATAGATGCAGCTCTCAAGGGATTTGTCGAGCAATCAGCAAGCTCGATACTTGAGTCGCTACGCAGCGTCAACATTCCCTCGACAAGATCGTTTTGATGTTGCGATGATAGACACAAAACAACAAAAGAAAATCACAACCAAACAAAAACAAACCTACTCAGTCATTTCCCCAAATGGTAAAGAAGGCGGTACCCTCGGCTGCTCTTGAAGGCGCTGCATGAGGACTTCGTGGAGTGTCAACCTTTCCATCATGAAACCATGTGCATGCTTGAATTAAGGTGCTATGATGTCGACTCCTTTTTGCCTTGTTTTTCTTATTACAAGGGATGAAAGCGAATGATATCAAGGACAATTGAACTTTGCCAACTGACCCAACTGACCGAATCGTTGAGTTGCCAACAACAAACACTCATCGTTGATAAATAATCACAGACTGCCACACTTGAAAAAAAAAACCCACTTTATGCAAAAGTACAACGAATCTACCATTGCCAACACGCTACGACGAGAAACTGGGCGGCGACGCTACACATAGGCACCCAAAGCAGCAACAACGGCACTGGCATGAACAGGTGGTGCACTGTTGTGGTACAGGTCCTCGGAGTAAAAACTTTTCATGGTGGCCACACCGGTGCTTCGCATTATGCCGAAGACGAAAGAGTAATGCATGTGCACTTGGAGTTGGTGAGCTCTAAACGAGCTCATTGTCAGTGCTTCCGAGTCAAATTCGTGAATGACACCTTCCGGGAAGGTACAATTCCAATATCGGTGGTCGATGATGTCGAAAAAGCTGCTGGCAAACTCTCGTGGCGCAAGTACAAACTGATCTACCTGCCACGGGATATGAATGCTGTGTCGTGTGTAGCGACAGAACGGCTCGATTGGCATGAAGAACGGAGTATCAGCGCGCACCCGCACAAACCAGTCAAACTTTTGGTCCGTCTCCCGTTCGTAATCTAGCGCCGTGTGGTAGCAATCGTGAATGTCTGTGAACTGTCCCACAAAACGCGGCAGATGATTTGGATCGGCAAGCCAGGAAGACGGCGCAAAGTGGCACTTTGTGCTCCAAATCAGCGGCCGCATCAGCTCAACGACGAGGCGATACTTCGGAAACTCGTTTCGTGCATTGCGGGCCTGGTGTGCCGCCAGCATTGCCTCTATGGCAGATTCCGACTGGAGCTGGATGCGCACAGAGCCAATGGTGATGCCGCTGTTGGCAAACTGCTTGAGCACAGCGTGCAGATTCTCCTCGGTGGGCGGCACGACTTCCGACGAGTAGGGACTGTCATCAAACTCCTTCAGCACAAAGAATGCAGTGCTAATACCGCCAAAGGCGTCCATCACATACTGACGCAGAGACTGGTGGACGAGTGGGTGAAAAAGAGCGCGGAAGGCTCCCGACACTATGAATGCAACGCGAGGTGGGCGCGCGACAAACGGATCGCACATCATCTGTGACATGGTTCTCAAGGGCGCCTGCGGATTAGGGATGGACATTTCGCGAGCGCGGGCCACAAAGCGCTGGAGCAGCTTGTCTTTGCTTTCGGCATAATCCCAACGAGATGGGACGGCCGGCTCAACATGAGGACTTGGCCGTGAGTCTGTCCGAATGCCGCTGCGACCACGGCCGTGTGGATAAAAGATGGCGTTGACGCACAGCATCTCCGACTCGATTGCCACGTCTGATCGTTCGAAGAGTGTGGTGGCGCAACGAGCATCGCGCGGTCGGTCCATGATCGTTCCCAAGTGATTCACCTCGTCATCGTCCAACGAGTCTAGTGCAGCGTAGAGCACGTCGGGGAAAGGGTCTCGCGTCTCGGGGGAGACGGCGTCAGGGCCGGTGGGGCAAGTCGGACAGGTCGGACAGAGCTTTGGCGTTTCGAGGGTCTGCAATTTGCTCTCGAGTTCTCGGATGCGTTCGGCGTCTCGAGCGCTGCTTTCGGCGAGAGCTTGCTCGAGCTGTTTCACACGCGCTGCACTCTGCTCGGATTCGGCGGTCTTCTGTTGCAGCTCCAGCTTGAGGCGATCAGCGTCGCGCAAAGCGTCTTCCAGTGCGGCGACGCGCGCAGGCCCTCCCTCAGCCGGAGCCTCAGGTCCCTCAGCGGGGGTTTGACATGCCGCAAGCTTGTTTTCCAGGCCACGAATGTGTGTTTCGATCTCCAAGCAGCGGTCCTTGGGGCTTGCTCCCTGAGGAACGAACGTCAGCCGACTGCAAGGAACGTCGTGGGCTGACTCTGACTTGTCTGATTGTTCCTTCGAGTCCTGGGCTAAGGTGGATGTCTCTCCGTGGGACGAGTACATCAGGTAGCCTGCCTCGATCATCAGGGCCGAGACCACCAGCACGGCGCCAATGAGCCTGTAATTCATGGAACCGACTCGTAAAGCACAGGGGTGTTGGGTTTTGCGTCACCCGAATCGAGTCAGACGAGCGCGGCCAGCAAGCAGGACGAGCTTTGTGGTTTGGGGGTGGGGGTGAGGGGTTGGGGGAAGAGCAAGCGAACCAAGAAGCAGGCTGTCGACCAGCTTCCAGAAAACAAAAAAAGGAAAAAGGAAAAAAAAAACAAACCCAAAAACAAAAAAGAACCAAAACAACGAGAATGAGCCGTCGGGCTCTCCCAGTCTCAGAAAAGGACACAGTTTTCCCAAAAATAATCAAAATAATAAAAATAATAATAAAAAACATTGGGCGCATATCGAGCCCGACTTGCACTGTTAGAGAGGCGTCCCGTATTCCAAACACGATTTTTTGAGTGGGCCACCTTTACGCCCCTGATTTTAATTCCGAACAAGAGTGTTTTTGGTCACTAGTCGACTCCGATCCACTCCCTTGTTTGTAATGATAGTAAAACCAGTCTCGATGTAGGAAAGTAGGCGTGCGACAGAACTGTCCGACGAGTGTCGGTGCTGACGGTGACTGTGGGAGACAACACAGCAGCCCTACGCCATTTCTGGTGCCAATAATGATACAGTTGATGTCACATGCCCAGTAGGGCCAGGGGCCGCTCAGATGAGTATGGGCGCGTCCACTAGCGAAATGCTTTTAATTCCGAACAAGCGTAATGTATGTCCAGCAATTGTCAACGCACAAGTTTATTGGGATGATACTCAATCTGCACAAGCTAACAAGAGGGACACCAAAAGATGCACGCGCACTTTACAAACACTCCTCTCGGTAAAGGAAAGGCTGTCAGTTCAAGAAAGCTGCTCAAATCTTGTATGGCGCCTACATGAAATCAAACACAACGTCGATGAGTGATCATCCCGCATATTGCCTCTCTTCGCTGTACCAACAAGAAAGAGAGAAGACGGCGTCCGACACATACATTGCGAGGATCGTTCCAAGAGGTCGTCTTTGTGTTGTGATCCAAGTAGAAGGTGCGACCAGAGGGATCCACCTTGGCCTCCCAACCCGCTGCAAAACCGAGTACAAACGAAGAAGAAAAAAAAAACCCCGCAACACAATTGAGACAGCGTTGGCAAATCACAACGCACAACGGGGGGTGTTTGCCAATCCGACTTACGAGGCAGAGGGCGCGAGTCAACGGGCGAGTACGACGGGGGCGCAGCAGCGTTTTGCATTTGAGGCGGGTATCCACTCTGAGGTGGGTATCCGCCTTGCTGCGGTGGGTATCCGCCTTGCTGCGGTGGGTATCCGCCTTGCTGCGGTGGGTATCCGACGGGCGATGGAGCATATCCAGCGGGTGGCTGTGGCATCGGGTATCCAGCTGCAGCCGGTGCAGGAGGGTAACCGCCGTACGCTGCTGGATACGGTTGCTGTGCCTGGCCAAACAAGCGCGCGTTTGCGCACACAGAGTGAGTGATTGAGTGAGTGGGTGAGTGAGTGGTGGAGATGCAGTGGTGATGCATTGTGGTTTGACGTCACACTCGAACTTTGAACAGAATTCTCCTCTCTGAATCTCAATGACCTCGTCCATTGTCCTCTGCCCCTCTGCCCCCCCATGCCCCACCCATGCCCCGGCTCCTCGTCGCTCCTCTGCTCGGCTTGCTTTCAAGCCCCCCCCCGGCTTCCTCACAAGTGCGAGCGAGCGAAGAGGACTTGCTTTTTTGTTTTTTTTTGGTCCTTTTCAAAACTCAAAACCGGATTTTTATTTGTTTTTTCATAATTTTTACCTGGTATCCGACCTGGGTGACGACTTGGGTCGAAGGGCTGGGCGAGACGGTGGTCGTGGTGGTGGTTGTGCGGTAGGTTGTTGTGACTGGGGCGGGCGACGGGGTCTGCTGCACGACCACGACGTTGCGCTGTGGCTGCGTTGCGGCATTGACGAGTGCAGCGCCGGCAACGACCGCAGCGCCGCCAATCAGCAACCCGGCACCGACGCTGTTGCAGGTGCACAGGCCAATGCACGCGCATCGACGGTGGTGTGCAAACCCGTGGTGGTGATGGTGGTGGTGGTGGTGGCGCATTGTGTATGTGTGTATGTGTGCAGAATGGAAGACTGAGATTTGGGGCGAACTTGTTGTTTGGCCATTTTATTCGTCTGATGGCTTTGACGTCACGCTCGAGATGCGAAATCATAAAAACTTCCCGCTCAGAGTGATACAACAAAACGTGGGAGTTAGCAGCAGTGGTGATGGGAACAGCATCATCATCAACAACAACAACAACAACAACAATAATGCCAGAAAGCAAAAAAGCCGACACAAACGTTTGTTCAATCCGACCATCCATGAACAAGCTCACCAACGTCGCACTGCCTCGTGCTGCAGCGATTTGACAATCAGATGATCAGTCGGAACTTGTCTACATCGCCCGTCCTGAGCCACTCTGAACACTTCTTTGCTGTCCTTCTTCAATGTCACTGAGCTTTTTTGACAAAGTTTCTCAGTCCGCTCAATTCCCACCAAATGCCCCCTAAATGCTCCCCAATTCCAACCGCGTGCGTTTGTGTTTTCTATATGACTTTGTTACGTGTACGTATCGAGCACTTGGGTCACTCTCGTTCCTCCTGGATTCGCCTCTCAACAAAAGTAACAAAGAGGCCACCCAACCCAATTTCCCGCCCCACCCACAAAACCGACAACTGCCTCGCTGAATGGCTGGACACGTCGACCACAGTAACGTCTACCATGTTCGACAGCGGTCTCACTGGGACTGCGGCATTGCCTGCGCAGCCATGGTGCTTCGGTAATGGGGAAGACGTCCAGTCACACTGCGCAATGCTCATGCGCTGCGCAGTGCAACTGGCTGCACTGTGCATCTCACTCTGTCATCTACACCCCCACTCGTGAAATCTGCATTCAATGGACACCTTGGAGGGAACGTTCAGATGGCTCTACGACACATGGCATCACGCGTCCCTCGCATCGCGAGCCGGCGCTGTGGACGCGCCGCTCTCGAGTCCATGCACTGTGCCTGGACCGACTCAAGTATTACTACGGCTGCACGACGCACTCGAATTTCTTGGTATCGGAACCTCGGTGTGGACAATCGACCTGTTCAGGTTGCTCAACCATATTCTTCGTTCCTCCAACACGGCATCGCTGCCGGATTTGGCCAGCTGTGTCAGTTTTACAACTCGCACGCTCGGAATCGATCCGGCGCACGGCAAGGAGCCATTTTATGAGGTGGCGCTCACGTCCGACCATGACCGTATCGCAGCGTCCTTTGCGAGCTGCCAACAGTCGGAAAACGTTGCCAAGCGCACGCTTCTGCTTGACGACTTGGTTGGATTGCTGGATGCCGGTGGCATAGCCATTGTTTTGGTGGATGCTCGTGGCTTGCATTGCGTCGAGTGCCACAGCGGCGCGGCATGCAACAACATTAGCTTGAATTTTCTCTCGCGGAGTCGGCATGGTAGCATGACGGGAGCCAGCGAGAGTACCAGCTCAGACACGTCTCGCCCTCGATCCCTGTCCAGTGGCGTGCTTGCGTGTGCTAGTAGTAGCGATCATAACGTCCTCAATGCCGCACAACTTGGAGCCGACAAAGCCAACACCAGTTACGAGCGAGAGTTTTGCGAACTAGCTTCCGCGCCGCTCGACCTCGAGCGTGATGTTGGCTACGCTGGACACTATGTCGTTTTACGAGGCTATTCGCGACCCGCAACGGGGCCCATGTTGTTCTATGTGAACGATCCCGGGCGAGACCATCGTGAGTGTTCAAATTTTTGTTCGTTGCTTCATATTGGCTTTTTCCGACCACTGCAGTTGTGTCGGTTGGATTAGAGCGGGGTGGGCGGCGTCTATGCGATGTTTTGTTCGTTGCATTTCTGGCATACATGCGGATTTCTGACTTGTTGGATTGGTTTCGCTTTTTTTGTTGTTGTTGTACTGTTTTGGCACAGCCCGGTGTACTGTGCTGGCTTCTCAGTTTGACATTTCTCGTACAGACGATGACTTGATTTTGGTGACCGCGCCAAGTCGATAGCATGTGGCTCAATGCCATTGATGGTTCTTGTTTGCATGAACTGCTGTTTCGTTCTTCTGTAATACAGTACGCTTTTGCATAAAAGTCCTTTCCCCCCGCCCCCTTTGGAGCCCATCTGCATCCCCATCCACACACTTTTGGTCGAGTCTTCACTTTCGGCCAGTCAGTCTTTCATTCTGAGCAGCTTACTCGATCAATCTTCCTTTCCTTTCACTCCACTTTGCACCTTTTGGGTTACTTTCCCGCTTTCAATCTTCCTTTGTTCTTTTGTTCCTTGTGAGTCAGTCAGTCAGTCAGTCAGTCAGTCAGTCAGTCAGCCATGCGCGACCGCTCGCCATTTGCGCTGGATGCGAGTGCGTGTGCGCGGCTGTCCCGAATGACGCCTGTGCGGTTTGACTGGAGCCAGCTGGACGCGGACGGAGCCATGTCGCCCATGTCCCCGTCCGAAGCGATCGTTGCATGGGCAAGTCGCCGCACGACGCTTTCAGCCGAGCCCAGCATTGCCAGTGGACGAGGGGCAGGCACAGGCGGAGGGGCAGGCGGAGGACCCAACCAACAACGTCATCAGCTGCTGCGCGCGTCTCCATTCCACCCGCTGGATGGCGTGGCTGGCGGCGTCGGAGTGGACGAGGATGCCGTGTTCCATTCACGGAGCGCATCGTGGCGCACCCGGTCTGGGCGGTCTCAGGGCGGACTGTTCCACGCGAGGGAGGCGAGAGGAGGAGGAGGACGAGGAGGAAACGCCGACACGACTACTACCGCTGCTGCCAGCACCCACAGCCAACCGCATTCGCTCGCACCGGCGTCCACGGCTTCACTCGAATCGTTCGAGCGACTCGGAGCCTTCTTTGATATTGTCGGCGCGTTGTCTCAACTCCCGGGAAACGCGGGATCGCCGTCTTCTTCCTCTTCGTCGTCCGATTATGCGAATCTGCAATCCCAAACCGGGAACAATGACGCGAATGAAGCGGATCAGCTGCCACTGGATGTCACGAGCGAGCATGGCAGAAACGACAACGACGACCTCGTGTCGGCTGTTCTCGACGATGGCGCAGCTGCACGACGCTCGGCGTGCGACGCGTTGCTGAATTCACTCGACAGCGGGATGCGAATGATGGATCGCTTGTACTCGCGCAGGTATGGTCATGACACAGGGCTCAGTGTTTTTTTTCTATTGAGCTGCATTGCTTTGTTGGTTGAACGTTCATGCGCAAGGGTATGCTCAATGGATGTGTGTGTGTTTCCCGAACCTTCTGTAGCTTTGCAACTTGGATTCGCTCAGACCAAAGTTTGCTGTACATTGTCCGCAACATGTCCAAAGCTGCTGCGCTCACAGTGGATGCGCCAGACCGACTCGTTGCCGGCTTGCTGTGGATGCTGGAATTCTCATTCGCCAGTCATGCTCATTTTCTCGAGCTCGTCGTGCAGGAGCTGCTGACCGGTTGGCCAGTCACGCGAATCGTACAGCTCGCTGCTACACTGGGGGCATGGTGGTACTTTTACCACAAAAAGGCGTTGCATCCTGCTGGAACTGGCGCCGCGAGTTCTTCGTCGTCGTCTACTTCGTTGGCTTCTTCGAGTGTCTCCTCGCCAGATTCGTCTTGCACTTCCGCGCACACAGACTCGCCTTCCATCGAGTCCATGCAAGCTGCCCTCGATGACGTCTCGTTATTCCTGTGCCATCACCGTGCACGTTCCATTCCATCGACACCTGCCTCTAATCCGCCCCAGGTGGACGGCGTGAGCTCCCCGTTGCGATTCGCCTCCCCGTCGTGCTCCCCGCGAGTTTCGTGTCCAGATTCTGCAAGCGCTCCGGGTGGAGCTGAACTTGATGTCGCGCCTTCGCTTTCTGGCGCGACGGCTACAGCACGGCGATTGGGTGGCCGAGAGCGTCGGCAGCACAGACAGCAGCTGCAGCTTCAGCAGCGCCAGCTTCAGGACCGCTTGAAGGCCGATCAGCCTGCTCCCCGTGAGCAACAAGTCACACATCTCCTCGGTTTTGTGATTGCTTCTCTGTCCCCGACAGATGCCAGTGCGTCCCTGTCCGCAATCACACGGGGCTGGCCGCCTCATTTTGTCTCTTCACTCATTCGGCAACTGGAAATGGCCTTGCTGGCGCCGGTCGGGTCGGACGGGGTGAGCAGTGACGACGGCGAAGGATCTGCTTCACTTTCTGGCCGGGCCGGCACGACCCACAAGGCGATGCCTCGTCAGGTGGCTACGGCATCCGTTCGCGCTCGACTCGTTGGAAATATGGAGCGATTCTGCCAATCCTTTGCCACGCTGCTGTCCTCGCAGATAAGCCGCCATCGATTGGCCACGCTGCAGCAAATGCGCGCCCTATACGAGACACGCCTCGCTGTCGCCCAGCTCAAACTGGAGATGGCAAAAGTCAGCCTGAGCATTGCCAAATGCAATCTCGCGATGGCTGGCGGTGGCAGCAACAATAGCACCCCCGCTAGTCCAGCCGCCCAAGAGGGCACACTGCCGCCTCGTCGATTTCGCGCCGTCGAGAAAGATGAGCTGTCGCTCAGCAACAGCCAATGCAGCGACGACGGCAGTGTCCTTGTGGAGTCTCCATCTGCCACTTCTCCACCATAATACTGTTCGATAACGTTTGTTTCCCTGTTTGGATCATCTTGTTAGTGAGATTTAGCGTGTCTGCTGGAGTGTTAAAGTTGACCAAATCTGATTATTTATTGCGAGCTTGGTGGTTGCAAAACACATGTACAAGCCATACATGCACCGCTGCCGCAGTCAGCTATCGTTTGCTAAATGGAATCAAGGAGCAAATGTGTACACGTAAATTTCTCCTCCCGTGTAGTCAGGAACGAAAAATTCAGACCAGCCATCGCCATCTATAGGATTGAGCATGACAAATGAGTCGTGCAAGTTTGCCTGAGAGCCAACGTCACCCCTTTCAATAAACCACTTCCAAACTGCTTGAACGTACCGACGTCCTCAACGGCAATCTGGCCAACCGTGTGCTTGACGTCAATGACGACGTCGAGCTCGTAAGACCAGTCCGAGCTCGTCTGAGTGTTTGGCGAAATCAAGTACGCGGACTGCGCACCGTCGCCTGCGAGCAGAATGGACGGTTTGCCCGAAGTGCTCTTGACCTGTGGGTAGAAGGCCTCGGGAGCACCAGGCGAAGCTGTGTCAAGTTTCAAGGAGGCACGAGGAGTCAGTAAGTAAGGGTCGGATCCGACGTAAAGTGAGCATGACAATCGCTTGCAAACCTTGGTTGGTGCCGGGCTCGGTTGTCTTGAAACCTTGAGCAATAATGTGCTTGACAAAAGTGCCTGAAAACACAAATGTTCCCGCATTAGATAATCGCTTCAAACGGAGAAACTTTTTTGCGAGTCAGTATTTTTGTTGTTTTTTGGTTTGTGCTTTACCTTGAGCCAGATCGTTCGGGATTTCATAGCCATACACTCCCGACAGCTTTTCGTCGTCGGTGTGGTCTGTGATCAGCAAGTCCACACGGCCATCGGCGTTCAGATCCAGGATTTTCACGTCGAAAAGGGGACCAATCGAGTCGTCAATCACGCGAGTCGCATAAGAGCTGGGGTTGGTGAGATTTCCGCGGGGCGCCGTGTACAGCACCAGCTTTGAGGTGAAGAACTGGGCGGCAAAGATTTCGATGACTCCGTCTAGTGTCGGTCAAGAGCGAGAGAGAGAGAGAGGGGGAGAAAGAAGAGTGAGCGCTTGACAATTCGAGTTGATTTGCATCTTGCTTTTTGCTGAAGGCCTCGTAGCTGCCAAAGGCACAAAAATTCTTACCATTGTTCACATCAGCAACGCGGAAAAAGACGTCAGGACCGGCAAACAGCACATGTTCAGTCCACGCATCGGTGAAAGGATTGCGTGGTTGTTCAAGCCAGAGCAGCTCCCCGGACCCGGCGCCCGTCAGCGGCTTTGTTGCTCGCGCAGCAACTACATCAAGCTTGCCTACAGTGGCCGATCGATGGATGAGGTCAATAAACACATGCATTCATACCGAGCAATAGAGCAAAGACTTGCCAACTTGGACTCACCGTCTCCATTCACGTCGTACCACTCGCACATGTGGTAGAAATAACCCTTCTTGTCCGTGGACAACTTGATGGTCGTCACGTTGGAGACGTCGCTGATTCGAACGGCAGACAGCACGCCTGTCAAGCCAAAAGAACGATTGTGCGTTGGTGTGTCGGTCAGTAGTGATAGGCACACAGCCGCAGCGAAACACCAGAAACGCACCGTTGCTTTTCCCAGGAACCAAAAAGCCGCCAGCGACAGTCACAAAGTTGTCTCCAAACACCTCACGAGGAATGGGAGCAACCTGAGCCAAAGGAAGAAACGCGTGAGTTTGACAAGCAGACGCGCCCTTCTTCCACCACATCGTGCAACATGATGTGGGTAAACATCCTTACCTCGTTGGGCCAAAGATATTCCAGCAAGGACACAGGAGCGATGGCGGGCACATTGCGAATGGCGCTCGAAATGTTCGGGACGGCGTAAACTTCGCCCTCTGCGAGTGAGCAAAACCAACAAACGCAGCAAAAAGTCAGTTACTTTTTGGGAGGAGAAGCAACATAGTAAAATAGGCTGGACACTGGCCCCTTTTGGCAAAAACAAAAACCGGCACGGAAGCGCCGTCAAGTCACACGAGTGGATGTGAGTCGGGTCAGCTGAGCCAAGCGCGAACACGTCGGCCTGCGCTTTCCCCACTCCATCTCGTGCACGTCCATTGCGTAGAGTCGCACTCATACCCATGCCGTCTCCGTTGGCTGCAATGGCCGCCTGCGGACGAGCGAGCGAAACAGAGCGACGAGCGAGAGAGAGAGAGAGAGAGCGCGCGCTTGTTAGCAACCGACATTACTCACCCGAGCCCAGCGGGTTGCCAGTGAACGAGCTAATCATGAGCCACAGGTCAGTCTCGCCAGTGCCCGGTTGCACGACCGGAGCAAAGTTCAAAAAGCCTATCAGCAATGTGAAAACCAAGCAGAACATGACGATGAGGCCCGCACGGTTGGACGCGATTGGTTTGGCAATGTCGGAAGCCAAAAACACAGGGGAGTCAACGATCGCGTCGGAAGCGACTAGTCATGCCCCCTCCCCCCGCTCCCGGATTTCGTCTGATTCAAGCATGCTTACCAGGCTGCTTGACGGAAAACGATCCGAGGCTGCGGTAGGGGGCAGCAGCGCCTGAGCGAGGCACGGTGGGGTTGAGCGGAGGTGTGACTGGCGCTGCGAATGCGCAGGCCGCCAGCAAAAGCGTCATGCTGATGACGAGTTTTGGAGTTTCAATCATTTTTAGGACGAACAGCTCCTCTTGATAAATAGTCAAAAGTGGCCTCCCCTGAAAAACCAGTAAAAGTAGAATGACTTGGTCCAAATTGAACTTGATGCAGCTCCAAAACTCAAAGTGGTCGGTTTTTTGTTTTTCCCTTTCCTCGCAATCTTGATCGAGAATAATGCGTGGTAGATTCAATCTCCAGCACAAAAAGAAGAAGCAAAAGAAAAAAAAGGCACGGAACATGAGCTGGAGCTTGGTGCAGAACGATGCTTGGTACCTCTCTCAGAAGCATGCGCGGATTACAATTCTGCATCTTGGCCAGAGTAGAGTGTCTTAGAATTGCCGCTCGCCCATTGATTTTAGATTTACTTCCCGATTCTTGTTTGTTGGGTGGCACTTTCGTCCTCAACGGTGGCGCTAATTTTTGCAAGTTTGGTCGTCTGAACGAACATGAGCATGTTTGTGAGAATTGGATGATGGCTTTTGTTCCCTGACTCCCCCTGCCTTGATTGATGGTGGTGATCCATTGGTGCCCGAGTTAACTTCCACCTCGTGTCATAGCCCAGCTGGTTCGCTTCTGTTTGGCAACGACACATCGCTGCCAGTCACAGACGCACATTCTCGCTTGCCTTTCTCCTCGTTGTGTTTCTCATGATATGGAATGCGATCTAACGCACAGCGCTGTCTTCGCACATTTTTTTTTTTTTTTTTTTTTTTTTTTTTTTTTTTTTTTTTTTTTTTTTGTGCATCCGCGCCCTGACGTTGCGTGTGACGACCAACTGACCCCTCGCGAGAGTCCAAAGGGCTGGTTGGTACTTTGTCGACATGCTCTCTCGCTGAGCGTTTTGGTTGCTCCCAAGTGAATTGGACACTAGATCGCTCTCTGAACCCCCACTTGCCAAAATGACTCCAATGCGTCCCCAGCGAAAAAGCGAAATCAAGTTTTTTAAAAAACCTTTTTGATTTTCAGGAAGGGCGTGAAAGTTTCCCGATTTGAAAATGGACTTGAGCCATTTTTTTTTCTTCTACTTTCTTTGTGAGCAGCAAAAATTTTTGATGAAAAAGTTTTTTTTTTTTCGTGTTCTTTTGTGTCGTCCGTTTTTTTGCGTTGGATGCAGCGATGGGCGGCTCGGATTTTGACGGGCGACGTGGCTGCATGGCTGTGGAGCGATTTCCTGGCAGGGGCAGGCACAGGGCTGCAGAAGCAAGGGCACAAAAAGCCTTGAGGGAGCAAGAAGAACCAAGAGAAAAAAAAATCAAATAATTGAAAAAACAATGTGCTCCATCCACCATCACGGCTGCCATCAGATCGCCTTCCCTGTGCCTTGTCCGCCTTCAGCCAACCACAGGCACTGCGCCTTGATTTCAATCACCATTGTAGCACGCATCCTCTTTGGGCTTGGTCCACGCGCGCAGCAGCAGCAAACAACCAAAATGAAATCTAACGAACCGTTCTCCTTTTTTTTTTTTTTTTTTTTGAGAATATCGCTTTCAACTGGTTCTCGGCTCCCAGCTGTTCTCTTGACGCGCGGCCGTTGTGCCGGCTGGTGTTGCCTGATGGCGTTCTGCCTGCTGCGGCCGAGGCTGGTGGTGCGGAGCGCCCAGTGTGACCGTAAAGTGTTGCTCCCTGAAGAGCAGTCGCTCGAAGCCATGAAAAAAAAAAAAGCATTAGTATTGCGAAAGCGCGCCTTTTTTTTTTTTTTTTTTGTCATTGCAAACCTCTTTCAAAAATCGTGAGTTTGTTCGAAAAAAAAAAAAACGAAAGAAAAAAAGAAAAAAAAACTCGAGCATTGTGTGGGGTTGGGATATTTTTCGAGTTTTTTTTCGAGTTTTTTTTTTGTTTCGTTTTTTTCTTTTGAAAGTTTTTCCCCCCTTTGAGAACAAAAATACGAAATCAAAACCATTGATGTGTTGTCGTGTTTGTTGCTTTTTGGACTCTGGATGCTATTCCAAAAGATTGGATCTTTTGTCTGCCTGTGTATTATCCTGTTCGCTAATTTTTTGTTGTGTTTTTTGATGATCCATTTGGTAGGCTTTTCTTTTTCTCTCTCTCCCTTTTCTTTCTTTCTCCTCCATGTCGCCGCGCAGCCCAGCGTTTGCTGGCTGGTCGGGCCTCTTTGCTTTGGTGGCGTTGCTTGCCTTGGCTACAAGCGTTCAAGGTCAATCCGCGACCCTGGTCTCTACGATTCCCACCGTGGTCTCCTCCTCCATTCACGGAAAGGTCGTGCTTCCCGTTTCCTTCACCTACACTGGCTCCGATCTCCTCGCTGACGGATGCTGCAGCATTCTGGTGACTTATGCCAACCGTGGTTTCCCCGACATGCCGGCTCGGACGTCTGGTAGCAGCACAGCCGACAACGAATTTGAGATTACCAATCTTATCGTCACTCCTGATGTCTCTGGCACCAGTGGCACCGTGACTGCTACTCTGTCTGCGACCGTTGACGAGAAGGCCAACAATCTCACATACGTTGTGTCGCTCGCCAGCTCGACCGGCGCAACCTTGCTCGTGTCTTCGGCTAGCTTCTACGCGGACGTTCCCACGTCTACGCTGCTGCAGCCCGCCGAGTTTAACATCCTGACCATGACCAAAGCCAACGGCGTTCAAGTTTTCGACGCTCAGGGTTTCCGCGAATTGCGTCGCCGCGCCCTCACCGCGACTGTGCTCACCGCCTTGAACTACATGTCTCAAGTCCTGTCTGCCAGCGGCGACGTTGTCATTGGTACTACTACCACCTACGACTCGCGTACTGCCTTTGACCACCGCTTTGGCGGCGTCTTTGTCACTTTGACTGGCGCCAGCATCGCCAGCCAGAGCGAGCTTGATGCCGTGGTTGCTCTCCTCGACGCTCACTTGAACGCGTTTGCTCCGACCACTGGCAAGCTGTACGTCATTTCGGACTTCTTTGGAAGCACATTCACCGCTGGCTCGCAAACCCTGCTGGTTGTTGCCCGTGATGTCAACGGTGCCACCGCCAACGACTTCCTGCTCAGCGCTGACGTCGCCACCTACCTGAACAACGCCCTGACCGGCTCGACTGCTTCCGACCTTTTGACCCATGGCATCTCCGCTCTGACTGCCACCTCCGCCCAAGGCCGTGGTTTGATCCTCACGAATGAGGGCTTCTTCTTGGCTGGCAACGGCGCCACTTTGACCGCTGTTCGCTCGGCCGGCCCCAAGCTCAACGATGCCACTATTGATTCGTCCAGCTGCAACATTGTTTGGCAAGCCAGCGTTTCGGGTAGCAACACTGACAACATTAACGGAGTCGCGACCACCTTCCGTCAAACCTGCACCAACCGCCAGCTGATCTACCGATCACTGTCAAGCGCATTTATGCTCGTCACCAGCCCGGGCCTCCTTGATACCCGCACCCTTACCTTCAGTCTGGTTGGCCCCGTCGTGCTTGCCGACAGCGAGTACCACATCGGCTCTGGTTTTGCCGAGAACGTCGACGTGGATGAAACCTGGTCTGCCGAGCGTTGCGCCGAGTACCAGCCCTGGGCTACCATTGGTCTTCAGTCTGTTCTTGCTTGCTCGGAGGCTGCCAACTCGCCCACCTACCGCAAGCTCGTTTTCGACCTTGGTGGCGAGTTTGCCCTCAAGGAGCTCTACGTCACCCTGCCCCACTACCCGCTCCCGTATCCCGTGGCCGAGTCCCTTGCTACTCAGCCTCGCCACGCTGATGCCAGCTCGTCGCTCAAGTCCCGTCTTGAGCTGTGGGTTGCCTCCGCCTCTGGTGCTTGGGTCGATGCCACTGACTCTATCAGCGACGACTTTGCCGCTGCTTGCACTGGTCTGGGTCAGCGTGACCAACCCTGCGAGATCACCTTTGAGGTGCTCAGCTATCTGCGCGACTCCCAACTTGGCAACGCTGGCATTCGCTACGTTTCCCTTGTCTTTGACGGTATCGAGGATTCCACTCGTCGTCTCCCCGCTGCTCTTCGCGTTTTTGAAATCACCGAAGTTGTTGCCCTCGGCACCTGCCTCTGCAACGGCCACTCGGCATCCTGCGACATTGCTGATGGCAGCTGCGATTCTTGCGGCCACCTGACCAGCGGCTCTGATTGCGGCGTCTGCAGCAACACTGCCTTCACCAACAAGCGCAACTCTCCCGACTTTGCCGTCAACTCGTGCTCTTACGACTCTGCCGAAATGGTCGATGGCGTTTTTGCCTGCGACGGTCCCTCCCTTGCCGAGATCGACGCTTCCGAAATCGAATCGCTCGTCTACGAGCATGGCACTTTTTCGGGCTTGATTGTCCCTGGCGTGCCCGTTCGCGACCTTTCGCGGGCGGTCTTCCAAAAGTTCTTTGCAAACGGTGGCCCGTGCGACCCTTGCACCTGCTTTGGACACTCTAACGCTGAGGTGACGAACAATTTCGCAATCCGTGTCTGCGACGCCGATTCTGGTGTGTGCGATTGCGCGGCCAGCCACAATGTGCACGGTGACCACTGCGAGACCTGTGACGCTACTTACTGCCGTGACATTCCTGCCTGCTCCCCCGCTGCCTACGCTTACGAGCAGTGCCACATCGCTGGCTGCTTGACTCGCTGCGATTGCAATGGCCACTCCACTTTGCCCCAAGTTGGCGGCTTTGACCAATGCGAAGGCGATGGCTGCGGTTGCTCGTGCAACGCTGCTGATGGTGTGACTGGCGCTCACTGCGAGAGCTGTCTCCCCAACTACTTTTCGAGCACTGGTAACGGTGTCGATGGCGAGACATGCGAGCCCTGCTTCTGCAACGGCCACAAGGGCTCCCCCGACACTTGCGACGTTACCGGCGGCAACTGCGACCAGGTTGGCGACCCCTGCCAAGACAACACCACTGGCCACAACTGCGAGCTCTGCCTTGAAGGTTTCTTCCGTCCCTTCCGTCCCGATGGCTCCATCGACCTGTCTGATGGTTGCATTGCATGCGACTGCAACGGTCACGGCATTGGTCCCGGTCTTTGCAACCCTGATGGCGGTGTCTGCTCGTGCGATCCCTCCTCCAACTCTGAAGGTGACCAGTGCCAGTCTTGCATTGTTGGTTTCTGGAGTGCCACTGGTACCGCTGAAGACGGCGTGAGCTGCACGGCCTGCCAGTGCAACACCCACAAGGACTATGTTGACAACGAGTGCAACGCGCTTGGCGGCGACTGCATGACTGATTTCGACGGCAACCCGCAACCTTGCGCTGACCAAACCAACGGCACTCACTGCGAGCACTGCAACCCCACCTTCTACCGCCCGTGCTTGACCCCGATTGTTAGTGGCGTCTGCGGCGGTGTTGACCTGACCTACGGCTGCCAATCTTGCAACTGCAACCACCATGCTGCCATCATCATCGGTGGTGGTGAAACTTGCGACGAAGTTGGCGGTATTTGCGACTGCGCGCCTTCTTCCCACACCACCGGCAACAATTGCGAGTTCTGCGAGGAAAACTACCAAAACCCCTTCGGCTCTGGTGTCTACGGCGCTTGCTTCGCTTGCTCGTGCTGGACTCACTCTGAAACTTGCAGTGCCATCGGTACTTGCACCAACTGCCGCGACAACACCACCGGTGTCAGCTGCGGCGACTGCTTCACCAACTACAAGCGCAACACCATCTACCCCGATTATGACACTCCCGAGGGCAACAAGCGCAACCGCGAGCAAGGCTGCCAGGCTTGCAACTGCCACGGCCACGCTTATCCCAGCAGCACCACCACCGGCTTTGGCATCTGCAACCCCAACACTGGTCTTTGCCGCAGCTGCGGCAACCACACTCTCAACGGTCCTCTTGGTGAGTGCGACACCTGCGTTCCCGGTTACTTCCGTCAGCTGACGAGCGCCGGCTTTGCTGCTGCCGATGATGTCTGCGGCGCTTGCAACTTTGTCAATGGAAAGTGCTCTGAGGACACCCTTGAAGACATTTGCCGCCCCTGCTCTGAGCAGTGCTTTGGCTCCAACACCATGTGCGGTGCGAACACTGGTGTTTGCTCCCAATGTGGCCTTTCGAACGCTGAGAGCCACCGTTGCGCGTCCTGCCAGAATGGCTTCTTTGGCAACCCCTCCGAAGGCATTCCCTGCACCCCTTGCAAGTGCTACCATTCCGCGCCTAGCAAGTTTGACCTGCTGACCGAAACCGAGATTGGCACCTTCCAGCAATGTCTCTTTGACAACAGCATTGGCGGCGTCAGTGGCGGCGCCCAGTCCTGCATTCTCGACCACAGTGTCAACACGATCGACGCTGCTGCTGATCCCCAGAGCGCCATTCTGTGCAGCTGCCCTCGCTCCATTCCCGGCGGCTTCTTCAACATTATTGCATCGGGCGTTGTGTACGAGGGCCGCACTTGCGACTCGTGCAACCAGGATGCCTACTTTGGCCAGCCCACGCAATGCCTCATCCCTGGTGTTGGCGGCAGCGGTCTTGGCGACTGCTTGTCCTTCGACACTTGCAACGAGTGTATTTGCAACGGCAACATTGACGAATCGAGCATGATGGACAACTGCGACTACTCTGCTGGCAACCCCAGCAACCTGATCTGCGAGGCCTGCCTCGGTCATTCGACCGGTCCCAACTGCGAGGTCTGCGAGGTTGGCTACTATGGCGACCCGACTCGTCTTGACACTCCCGGCACCATCGGCACTGGTTTTATTCTCGACGGCTCTGGCGAGTCGCTCAAGTGCTTCCAGTGCGACTGCAATGGCCACTCGATTGCCCGTGTCGTCCCTGGCACGGAGGGTGACGTCCACAACGATACCTGCACCACGGTTGCTCCTGGCTTTGTTGGCAACTACACTTGCGACTGCGACTCTGCCAACGGCTACACTGGCCCGACCTGCCGCGAATGTCTGCTTGGCTACGAGCAAATCGCCCTCGGCAGCAACCTCTTCCGCTGCGATCCTTGCGACAACTGCACCCGCGACGCCGCTGACATCATCTACGGTCTTATCGACGAGTACGCGGCTCTGGACACTTTCGAGTCCGATATTGCCACCTCGGTTGCTGCCGTCGCTGTTGCCATCAACGACCTGAAGGCCATCCTCGGCATTGCCCGTCGCGACGCTTCCGCTGCCAACATTGTCGCTGCTCTTCCTCTTGTTGGCTCTACTGCCGACCGTCTGACTTCCCAGCGTGAGCAGCTCTCTGCCCTTCTCGCCAACTTTGAAGCGTCTGCTGACAACAAGATGGTCCGTGTTCGCATCCAATCGTTGCTCAAGCGCGTCGAAGACTCCAAGCTTGCCTCGTTCACCTCCCAGTCCGAGTCCTTCCAGCGCCTTGCCGCTGCTGCCGACCTGCTCTCGACTCTGATTGCCAAGCTTCCTCAGCAACGCGAGCGCCTTGCCTCGCTCGAGTCTGCTCTTGCACAGGCTGAGGCCGCCTTCCTTCACGAGCAGGACTGGATTGACACCAATCTCGACGTCATTTCGGCTGGCCTCGTCACCGCCGATCGCATGACGCAGAGTGCTGCTGGCCTCCGTGCCGCGGCTGCTGCTGCTTTCGACCGCTCTGTCGCTCCTCTTGCGCTTGTCTTGAGCCAGGCTGAAGCTGTTCTTCGTGACGACACTGCTGACGCGCTCCAGTCGGTGCTTGCTCAAGCTCTTGCTGACATCCAAGGCCGCCTGACTCGTCTCGAGTCTGTCATGTCGAACGTCCGCACCCGCACTGCCACTGCGAACGCCGCCTCGACCACCGAGCGTCTTGCCCAGCACCAGTCGACCATCTCTGCTCTCGGTGCCCGCCTTGCTTTGATTGAAGGCCAGGTTGGTCTTGATGGTGCCATCGAGCAGGCTCACGCTTCGCTCCTTCTCGTTCTCCAGGCTGCTGATATTGGCGCTGGCGAGTTTGTCACCATGGTTGACGCCACCGAGACTGAGCTTCGCAACAAGCTGGCTGCTCTTGACCCCACTCAGGCACCTCACGTGAGCGAGCTTATTGCCGAGCTGGAGAGCAGCATTGCTGCCCATCGCGATGCCGTCGCCGAGTCGTCCAAGCGCATCCTCACCCAAGTCTCTGCTGAGGCCAGCATTGCTGCCACCGCTGCCTCGGAATCTCTGATCTCGAGCGGCGCCAACGAGGTTGCCCGTGTTGTTGCCGTCCAGACCTTCCTCTCAAAGATTAACACCATCTCCAACGGTGCTGTCGCTCAGTTCACTGAGGCCTTTGCTGGTGAGCGCGTCCTTGCTATCATGCGCGAGCTTGTTTCCAGCCGCCGCCGTCGCACTGTCGAGTTGCTGACTCCTCTTGAGCGCGAGACCTTCGCCGCTTTCGGTGAGGCCTGGTCTGCCGCAAAGTACGAGACAATGCAGTCGTGCGCCTCGGTCCTCGATCAGTACACTGAACGCCTGCAGGCCTCGATTGCTGCCTTCACCAAGTCGCTCACTCGTGTTCAGCTGAACACTACTCAGGTGGCTCTGGACATGACTGAGCGCGATTCGATGAAGAACTGGCTGTCTGGCGTTGCCCAGGAACTCAAGATGGCGCGCACCGACTCTCTCGCTGCCCTCGATCGTAAGATCTCTGCCCGTGCTGGCCAGCTTGCCGCGTCGCTTGACGAGGTTGTTCTCGAGTTGAGCGTCTCGGTCGGCTCTGTTCGCAACCTTGCTGTTGCCGAGCTCATGCAAGCCTCCTCCAAGGTCGCTGATCTTCCTGCCATCGTTGCTGCCACTGTCGCCGACCTCACCCAGCAGCTTGCCAACCTTGTTAGTGAGATTGACCTCTCGGCCTCCCAGATTCAGCAAAACGAGCAGCAAGAGCTCGAGCGCTTTGTCGGCCGATTTGGCTCGGATATGGCCATCATCCGTACCAAGATTTCTGCCATCAACGAGCTTGTCAACGGTCTTGAGGAAGCGCTCAACGAGCAAGCAGATGCACTTGACGTCTCTGCCACCTCGGCTCGCGCCACTCTTCGCGAAATTGCCGCTCTCCACGTCAACCTTCGCGCCTTCCTGACCATCCCTGCCTCCGCCGAGCTTGTCAAGGAAGCTCCGGCTTCGCCGTCCGCAACTCTGGTTGATCAGTTGCGCAACACTGCTCTTCCTCAATGCCAGCTCTAAAGTGGCAATCACCAGCCTTGTCGACAGTTCCTTGGCGCCGACGGGCTTGCTCTCATTTTTCTCCTTGTCTTCTTTACTTTTTGTGTGCTCTTTCTCTCTCTTTCATATTTTGCGTAGTTGTGATCTATGTGATTCGCATGTCGCATGGTTGTTATTTGTGCTGATGGATTTGTCCTCCCTTAGTCATTGTTCGTTGTGTTCAACCTCTTTTATCTCGTCTGTCGCTCTTTGTTTTTTTTTTCTTCTTTTCGTCACGCTTGGGTGTTTGTCGATCCATGGCTGCACTTCGTTGATGATTGAAAATCCATGTTGAACAATACAAAGGCAATTTTTAAAGGCAAAAAAGCATGTGTCTTTACAACGAGCAGACATAACAAGATAAACAATAAGAAATAACAAGCAAAACAAACTAAGACAGAGACAGTCGCTCAAAAGGACAGATTTTGCAAGTCCTTTTCCACTTGGCCGGGATTTGCAGCCGCTGCAAAAGTGAGGAGAGGTTGGGGTGGGTGGGGGAAACAAAATAGTCGTGTTTGTCAGTGTGAGCGAGTGTCAATACACCGACAGCCAAAAACAGCTTCAAACAAACCGCGTACCTTTCGAAAGCAACGATGCCAATTTGTCGGCTCCCATGCGAACAAGCGGGAAGAACACGCCAGCCGTGCTCGCAGCAAGATCCTTGTCAAAGCGGGTCGGCAGACCCGCATGGATGGAAGCGCGTACGGACATGATGACGGCAATTCCCAAAGCTGCCGTCATGGTGAAGGAAGAGCGGACAGGCATGGGACCCGCAGCACCTTCAAGGCCTGGAATCTTGCGGGCGACATCAATGGCGCTTGTCGGAATGTTGGGCGACCAAGCACCCCCGAGGAGAGTGGAGAGCATCGAGCGGGCATCAGCAATCGCCGCTTCGTTGGCCGAAGGCACGAGGAAGACTCTGGCGATTGCCAGCATCATGCTCGCCTGGGCTGAGAATACCGACATGGTGTCTTGGACCTCATGGGCGGGGCTAGTGGCGACAACGTTGGCAGCCGTGACTGCCGCGGCGCCAGCGACAATGCCAAGCGCACGTTGGAAGATGCCCAGCTCTGATTGAGCAAAGGTGCGTGACAAGGTGGGTCCTGTCAGCGCCAGCACGGTGGCCTCGGCGAGATCCTCCAGACCAGACTCTGGGATGGTTCGCGATGCCAAAGAAGGACTGGCGTCCTGCGGACTGGACGACAAGGTGACCAGAGTGTTTGGGACGAACGGAGAAGCCAAAAATCCTTGGCCGCTCGTTCGACTACCGGGGCTTTGGCTGGCAGTGGAAGACGCACCACCGGCACGCTGAGAATGAGGGGAGCGCGGGGTGGCAGGGGACATTGGCGTCGATGCCGACGACGACTGTGGCGAAGCGGCAGACGACAGCGGCAGGGTCGCGGGACGAGCGCGCGAATTGACCATGACAACATCCGCCTGGCGATAATCTTGCGCTTGGAGAAGCTGAGAGCGTTTCGCGAGAGCCTCATCCGAGCCACCGCGAGTGACGACAAACAAAACAGGCATGATGATGCGGTACGAATGGATTAAACGCTTCTCGTGCTCGTCCAACACATCGGTAGGAGACACACAGTACCACATGACGGGGTTGGGCAGCTCTCGGTCACTGAGAAGGCCAGACAGCATGTGCCAGACTTCGGAGCGGCGCGCTCCAAGGCCGCTTGCAGCCGTGAAATCAATGCCTTCCGTATCGAGCATGTGGATTTTCTTAGTGCCTTGCCGCAAGGTCAGCACTTGGCTGCCGCGCGTCGTCGCCAGACCAGAGGTCCCTTCCTTTGTCCAGTTGATTCCTGCAACATTGTTCAGCAAGCAAGACTTGCCCGAGCCAATGCGACCACCGACAACGAGCGCAATGCTCGAGTTCTCGGCGAGGACGTCGAATAGCGCCGATCGTGCAACGCTGGGGTTTAGCGGCTTGTCAGCCAATTGTGGCGGAAAGATGATGACAGGAGGAACGGCTGCGGCGGCAGCAGCGCGCGAGTGGCTGGCGGCGGGGGTTGTGAGAGCGCGAACGGCGTCTTCCGGCATCTCGGAGTCGATCAGCATGGGAGCAGCCACCACCATCGAAGTGGTGTTGATGAACATGCGCGGATCCTTCTGTTGCAAAATCGTGGACAAAAGGGATTGGGGACGACTCGCGAGCTCGAGTTTCTCGTTGAGCGCCTCCGAACGCTTCTTGATTTCGCTGGGTGACAGCTGAATGGCGGCGAAAACATCTCCGGCGGTGGGATCACTGTGCGCTGCTGTTGCGCTTGTCCGATCGAGTTGCTCACGTGGGTGATCTGCAACAAGCTGAGCCGCCGTCTGTCGGTGAGCTGGCGCGAGTTGGTGTGTGAGAGAAGGCGCGTTACCGTCAGCAAGCGGAGCTACAGCAACCTGGTGTTGTAGCTGTTGTAGTTGCTGTTGCTGCTGCTGTTGCTGCTGCTGAGGATGTCCGCCAAGTTCGACATCATCCGCGTCCTCGTCATCCTCATCCTCGTCCTCTTCGTCCCAAGAGTCGTAGCCGCTCGAGTTGTATCTGCTCGAATCGTCTGGAATTGGCAGGCCGACAGGTGCATGCTCACGAAGCCATTGTGCGACCTGGGCATCGTGACACACTTCGAGCGCCCAGTGCCCAGACGCGTCGACGACATCAAGCTGGGCGCCGGCAGAGAAGAGGCGGGTCAGGATTGTCAGATTTCCCAGGTGGGAGGCCCAGTGGAGCGGCGTGGTGCCCATGGCATCGCCCATATTGACCAGCGATCGAGTGCGGTCGTCCTCGAGCAGAACATCGAGGCAATCGGTTCGCTGCAAGATGCACGTCAGATGGACGACGTTCTGCTGCTTGTCGTCAGTGACAGACACGTCAACATTGGCAAGGGAGACAAAGTAGGTCAGCATCTCCCGGTAACCGTTCATGGCAGCCTTCAGCAGCGGCGCGTTGCCGTCAATACCGGGCGAGTTGAGCACCATTGCTGCCTCGGCTTCTGGCAGAGTCGAGGCAACACAGGCAAGATAGTTGGCCAGCTCAACGTTGCCATTCTCAACGGCAAGGTAGAATGGATTCATGCAACGCTTGTCGACAATCGAGAGAGCGGCATGCAACTCCTCGATGAGGACGCGAACAGTGCTGCCTCGGTTGTTCATCACGGCCCAGTGCAACGGAGTGAATCCGTTTCGGTCAATGACATTCGGGTTGGCGCCAAAGGTTGTCACAAGCAGCCGGCAGTCATCGTCGCGTCCAAGAGACGCAGCGTAGTGCAAAGGAGCAAAGCCGGTACTGTCGCACGCATTGGGATTGATTGGTCGAGAGCGGTCGGGGCGGTTGTTGTTGTTGTTGTTTCCGCTGTTGTTGTTGTTGCTGCTGTTGTTGCCACTGCTGTTATTGTTGGTGCTGCCGTTGTTGCGGTTGCTCGATCCATCGCGGGTGTTGTCGTTGAACGAATTGGGGTTGGAGTGGTTGCCAGCATCATTGTTGCCGCGGGAAGCATCACCTCGCGAGGCACCGCCAGCATGGCCGCGATCGCGCTCGTAGTCGCCAGCCGTGACCTGTGCATTACGATCGACAGGTTCGTCGGTCTTGGAATCCTTGCTCTCGACAGCATCGAGTGCGATTGACTTGCCCGACGGGCCGGCATCCGACGAAGGCGCAGCAGCAGCAGCAGCAGCAGCAGCAGCAGGGGTGGCGGTGGTGGTGGTGGTACCAGCAGTTTGATACATCATGCCGCCAAAGCCGCCGCCGCTGCCGTACCCGCCAAAATTCATGCTCTGACCATAGTCCTGGCTGCCGCCAGAAGAGCCAAACCCAAAGCCACGGCTATCACCGAACGAGTCGCGCCCAGTGCCAGTCCGGCTGCGAAAGTCTTCGAGCAACACAAGCCCCAGCTCGTCGTTGACGTTCACAATGGGCTCGTAGAAGGTGAAATCAAAGCCAACGCGTGGAACGGAGGTGACAGAGCCCAGCGTGTACTCTGGTGTCACATGCACGCGCTCTGCCTTGTTCCAGATGGGGGCAACCACATCGACGTGGGTTTCGTCCCAGAACAAGACCTGGCCGTTGCGCTGGTGAATGGGCGAGCAGGTGGCGGTGCCGTGCCAGCCGAATGCAAGCAGATGCGGCTTCTCGTGCAGGTCGCGCTGCTCGGCGTGCCGGCACAGCTTGAACTGCGTGTCAGCGTCGGGGCGGGCGACAAGACGCACCCATCGTGGCTCGGCCATCATGCTCGGCATTGCCGCGCCGCGCAGGCCGGCATTCATTTGCGTTGACGAGACAAATGCTCCAAAGGCAGGGCCGCTTTGCGGGAAGGCAAAGGCCTCGCCTTTTGGGCTGGAACGGGACTCTGCGCGAAGGCGTGAAGCAAACACTTTGATGGCAGGCGGGTTGATGTGATAGGGATTGCGGAGCTCTGGGAGCTTTGGAGGGGTGTACTCGATCGGCTCAACCAAGCTGCTGCGGTAGAAGAAAAAGTTCCAGAGACAGCGAGCGACGTTTTGGTTGGGCACAGACACGTGAGTAAACTCGACCCAGCCATTCTCGTCGGCGCGGGCAGACCAGAATGGCTGCAGCTCGCGGTCGTTGCTGCGCAGCTGCGCGACAATGAAGTGTGTGTCTGACAAGCTTTGCCAAGCCACCCACTCTGGGCAGACACGGATGCGGAATTGGAACTGTTCCTTTTCGGCGACAACCACCGGCGGCCAGAGACCGCGGCTGTCGAACGTCACTTTGGCGTCTTGAACTTGCTGGGCCGTGTGAGGACTGGTCAGCGGCTCGTGCAGCGCCTCCATCAGGAACTGGTCGTCAAACTTGCCCGGCATGACGGGCATGCTGAGCGCGTCAAAGGCCACCGGCTGCATGTGAGGTGAGAACAGCATGTCGGGTTGGCTGTGGAAATCTTGCTGCTGCAACTGCTGCAGCTGCGGCAAGTCTGCATTCATGGCGGCATCGTGCTCCGAGGTCGAGGCGTACTCAAAGCCAAACGAGGCAGCGTCGTCCACGATGCCGGTGCTCTCCATGCCAAACAGATCACTCTGCTGCTGCTGCTGGTGCTGGGCGAGCAGGGCGAGATACTCTGCCTGTGATGCCCCTAGGAACAGCCCGCTTGTGTTCGAGGAGGAGTTGTTATCCATCGCCATGGCCATGCTCCGGGTATTACTTGCTTGTCACCGAAAGGAAGAAGGGAGGTTAACGGGGAAGGGAGGTCAAGGGAGGGGACCTTCAAATTCAATGTGGGGCGGAAGGACGGATCAGGCCTGTGACGAGAGCAAGGAAGGGTTCCTGTGAAAAGAGTTGAATCGACACACAATACAGCGAGTGAGTTTTGAGAGTGAAGGAGAGAGGGGAGAGAGGGGGGGAGGGAGGAAGGAGAGAGACAGAAGGAGAGAGAGAGAGAAGGAGAGAGAGAGAGGCCCCAGTCGCTTCGTCCGTGCGGCCAAATGGAATTGGGGGGTGTGTGTAAAAGTAAGCCGTTGATAGACAGATGGATGTCGCATGGTGGGGTGGGGTGAAGGAACAGAAGGAAGCAAATGAAAAAAAAAAAAAAGAAAAGAGAGAGCACGGCGATCACGAACTGCAGGCGCTGGTCCGCTCCCTCTCCCCAATCTGCCCTTCATCTGCACTTCACTCTCCATTCCATTGCATTGCAGGAAGGCGTCCGTTGCGTTTGCGTGGGGTTGCAAAGTGACAGCTCTCAACGCTGCTTTGATTCTTCTTGAATCAAAAAAAAAAAAAAAAAAAAAAAAAAAAGGCCGAAATCAATGCAAAGTCCATACAAATAATAATAATAAAAATCGAAAAAGCGAGCTTCGCGTCATCATCGCGCTTTTTTTCAACGAAGCCGCCACGGAAACAAAAGAAAACAAAGCAATCGAACGTGTTTGAATGCATTGCGTGAAAACATCAGCGATTGGAGTATCAAAACAACAAGAAAGCCAAACCCTGAGAGGAGAGCCGGGTGGGGGGGGGAGGGGAAGGGGAAGGGGCGGAAGGGTTAGGGTTGGCGGGAAACGGGATTGGAGAAAGAGCGTGGCTTGCCTTCAACGCAGAAAAACGAAAAAAAGAAAGAGAAGAAAGAGTGAGCTTGAATAAATGGAAAATGGAAATGGAAAATGGGGAATGGAAAATGGAGATGGAGATGGAAATGCATTGAAAGACAGAGAACAACATTAGCTGGGAGCCGGTGTTGCAAGAGATCAGCTATCGAGCATCACTTCCTACACGTCCGTCCCCGATGCATGCTTACGTCCGGTACTCCTGACAATTTCCTTACATATTCGTCCTGTCTCAGTCCATCCGTTTCCAAGTCTCAATTGCTGTGCTGCTGTGCTGAAAACCCTAGTTCGTCACCCACCCCCTAACCCTCCCTCCCTCACTCCCTCACCGCACGCCTCATGGAGCATCTCGCTGCTGCGTTCCAGCACATTGGCTTGGACCGCCGCATAAACATCCTGGCAGTGAGCTACACTGGACCGGCTGTTTTGCCATCCGCCTCACCCGGTCGAGCAAGCCAACCACTGCAGCAGCTGCAGCAGCAGCAGCAGCCTGCTGCCCCATCACTCCTGCTGGCAGCGTCAAACCTTCCCGAGACGGCGGCCGTCGCCGGCGGCGTGTCTGCTGCCGAACGCGAGCAGCACATCCGCGCGCTGTACGCTGCACGCGAATGGCCCGTCCCACTGCCCGAGCCGTCATCGAACGAGACCCGCGCCACCTCAACGCGGGACAAGCAACAGCAGGCACGAACATCCCTCGTTGATGCAGTGGCCGCTGCCATCATCCCCAAGCAGAGCACAACAGCCGTGTCCCCGTCCGAAGCACCAGAACTTGCACCATCGTCCAAGGCCGAGCTGCTGCTCGCTCGTCTCGTGCAGCACAACTTGGTCTCGGTAGCTGCGTTCGCGTCGTGCAACTCGTCCTTATCAAGCAGTACACGTCAAGCACCGAGCGGTGAAGAGCAGCAGCAGCAGATCGCAGACCAAGTCCGCCGGCACGCCGTGGCGCACGACTGCACAGTCTACACGAGCTCTGTCAGCCTCAAATTGGAGGTCGATCCGTTGACCGACGGGCCAGAGGATGGTCAGTTCCGGATACGGCGATCGCATAGCCTGGGCTTTCACATTGTCAATGCCCCGGATCTGCCACATCCCTCATTGATCGGTCCCCTGATCGGGCAGCTCTCAAGCGACGCCTCAAAGACAGCAGAGGGTGCCATCCATTGTTGCTGGCTGTTTGTGTCCGCGGCACGGCCCTTCCTTTCGCAGCACGACATGGAACTCGCGCGGCTCGTCGACAGCAAGCTGTGCCCGGTCGTAGTGGTGCTTGTTGGGTCATCCCCCGACCCGACGTACACGCGAAACCTCCAGCATGTCTTCCGGCACGTGATTGTCCTGCAATCCCCGCGCGTCCCGATACCTCGCTCGGCATCCGACTCGTTTGCACGCGGCAGCGGCTTTTTTGAAGGTGCCTTTGGCGATGCCAACGACTGGGGCCGTTTGCACTCTGGCCTGGACGTGCTCTTGTTCAAGAGTGTGGGTGCTGCGATCGAGATGGCCGTGTACTACGAGACCAGAGAGCGTCCCAAGTCGCTGCACTCGTCGCTGCACTGGTTTGGAGCGCTTCTCGGATGGTGCGTGTTAGTTCTGGGAGAAAGGGGGAGGGGCGGTGCATCTTTTGGTTGGTGTTGTCGCTTTTTTGCTTGGAAGGCGCGCTCTGGAATCTCTGGAATTGATTTGATGTTTGTCTGTTTGTTTGTTTGTTTGTTTTGTCTGTTTGTTGTTTTTGCAGGTATGCCGTCAACATCCCCGTAGCGGCTCGCATCTTGACAAGAATTCTCGGCATCATCTCGCGGCGGTTGCCAGCGTCATGGGCGCCAATTTTCCACCGCTTTGTCGCCGCGACTCTGCTGTACTTTGCATCGAAAAACCTCACCCTGCTCGTCGCAACACAGCAGGAGCACCATCTCCGTCAGTACGCCACCGCCGCCATGCAGCAGATTGGCAACTACTGGCCGCGATTAATCAACCACGCTGTTCTTCAGCGAACGGCCAGAAGTGAGACTCCACCGTCCGCCGTCGCTCCGTCTCCAGAGCCCCCGCAGCCGATTCTCGCGCTGTGGGTTTTGCTTCTGCTCGGTCGTGCTTCCCTCTCTGCGCGACAGCAATGACGCGTGCAATTTCCTTCCGAGTTGAACGAGTTCAATTGGCAAGCGAATTTGGTTGACTTTTTGAAACAGTATGACGACCAAATCAATCTGCAGCGCTCCTCGACCCCCATCCCGTTACCCAATACATGCATCATAATCCAATGCGACCATTTACTTCTGTTCGAAGTCCCAGATCAGTCTCAAATTTTTTGATTCAGTACAACAACTCACAATGTCAGGCCCAGTCACTGTGACGATCAAGGCGTCGACTGGCTCTAAAATCACCGTGACGGTGGACGATCCAGCAACACACACCATCCTCAAGGTCAAGCAGGAGGTCGCCCCGCAGGTCTCGCTCGAGCCCAGCCAAATCCGCCTGATTTACTCTGGCCGGATTCTCAAGGACGAGGACACGGTTGCATCCTATGGTTAGAAGCGCTTTCTAGACCGACCAATTTCGATACCCTCCCTCTCCCATCCGCCTTCGCCGCCTACCATTTCCTTCACTTTCGCTCCGCTTTTTTCGTTTGTTTCGCTTGTTTCTCTCTCCCCCACGGCGGTCGTTCGTGTTCTTCCAGCAGAGCAGCAGAGCGAGTGCAGTTCCACTCCTGCTCCACCCCCTCCCCAACGCTGACGTCCACCGTACCTGGAAACCCCCAACAGGCCTCACCTCAATGCTAAATCAGCCAAAAAAGCAAGAAATCGCGAAACTTTTTTTTTTTTTTTTTTTTTTTTTGTTTCCGTCGTCCTTCTCAGTGAGATTTGAGTGAGATTTGAGAACGAACTTTTGGAGCGACTCTGCACAGGCAGCAGCAGCTGCTGTTGTGGCATCGAGTGTGATGACTGTGGTTGCTGCTGGTGACGTGAGGAGGCCAGCGCCATCTGCACTTGATCCCTGTGTGTTCCAGCACTCTCACGCTCACTCACTCACTCACTCACTCACACTGACTCGCGCGCTGTGGCACATCATTCACCACGCTACACCTCAAGCGAGATCATGCAAAAAAAAAAAACGCGACCATCACGGACGTGCGCCTCATCCCTTTGCATAGAGCCGGGAAAATCACGTCACTGATTTTTTTTTCTTTTCTTCTTTCTGACCCAGGTATCAAGGACGGCCACTCCATTCACCTCGTCAAGAGCGCGGCTCCGGCTGCGGCTGGTGGTGCTGCTCCATCATCGCCGGCTGGCGCGGCGGCTCCTGCTGCGGCTCCGGCGCCGACAACCCCGGCCACGCCAGCATCCAACGCGCAGCCCGCTGCTACTGCAGGCGCTCGCCAGCCCTCGGCTGCGGCAGCCAATGCAATCAATGCTGGCATCTTTGGCCTCGGTGGCGCGGGTGCGCTTGGTGGGGTCGGCGGCATGGGGCTGGGCAATGGCGGTGCGTTCGACGGCATGCACCAACAAATGCAGGAAATGATGGCCAACAACCCCGAGATGATGCGCAACATGATTAACTCGCCACAAGTCCAGGTAAGCGGCCATGGGCCGACGAGTGGCAAGTGGCCGCACTGGAGCTCACATCCGAATCTCTGGTTTTGTTTTTTGCTTTGTTGTTGTTGTTGTTATTGTTGTTGTTGCTATTCCAGGCAATGATGAACAACCCCGAGCTCATGCGAACCATGATGATGGCCAACCCGCAAGTTCGTGACCTTATTGAACGCAACCCCGAGCTCGGCCACATGCTGAACGACCCGTCCGTGATGCGGCAGGTGAGCGAGATTTTTTTTACTGTTGCGGGTTTGGCGCTGGCTTCATCCAACTCATCTGTTTCGCTGATTCTGGCGCTTTGCTTCCCCATTTGCAGTCCATGGACATGATGCGCAACCCAGCAGCAATGCAAGAGATGATGCGAAACAGCGATCGCGCAATGAACAACATTGAGGCAATGCCCGGCGGCTTTGATGCTCTCCGGAGAATGTACGCGCAGTACCAGGAGCCCATGCAGGAAGCTCTTGGTGAACAAGTAAGTAATCCTGTGCCGGAGACACGTGGGGATGTGCAGGAGGTTGGTTTTTTTTTTGGTTGGTTTTTTAGAGTGCGATTGTCGCTGAGTTCGATTGTGTTCCCCCATCTCTTGCCTTTTCTCTGTGCAGCAAAATCAAACACAAACGCCACAACCCGCCATCCCCGCAACGAATCCCGATGGCACACCGGCGCCGTTGCCAAACCCGTGGAACACGCAACCGACAGCGAATGCCGGCGCTCGTGGCCGGATTCCAAATCCTGCCATGATGGGTGCCAATCCCTTCGGCGACCTTGGCGGCTTGGCTGGACTTGGCGGCGCTGGCGGCCAAGACATGATGCTGGCAATGCTGCAAGACCCCCAGGTCCAGGCGAGCCTACAAGCAACGATGGCTGATCCCAACTTTATTGCAACCGTAAGAGCTGTGCTGCATTTCGTTTGTTCTCGTGCGTGGTGACGTCAGCCCATTTCATGCTCGCTCACGCTTCTCAATTTTTATCTGCTCCAACCAGATGACGCAAAACAACCCGCTGCTCCAAAACAACCCGCAAATGCAGGCCATGCTGGCCAATCCTGAAACGCTGCGACGAATGACAGATCCCAACACCCTTCGTGCAATGATTCAGATGCAGCAAGCGATGGGCCAATTGGCTCAAGTAGGGTTGCTCCCCAAGTAAGTGGTTTTTTTTTTCTTTTTGGACGACTTTTGTCGTTTGGAGAGAGTGTGTGTTTTCTTGCGTGACGGAAAACTTTGCATTCTCATTCTTTGTGGTTGTCATTTTTGTAGCATGAACGAGATGGGTGGTCTTGGCGGGCTTGGCGGACTCGGCGGCGGCGGCTTTGGTGGCTTTGGCGACTTTGGCCTGGGCAATGCTGGCGGTGCGCCGACGGGTGGGGCAACTACGACTCCAGCACAGCCCCCGGCTGAGCGTTTCCGGGTGCAGCTTCAGCAACTCCAAGACATGGGCTTTTACGACGAGGAGACGAACATTCGAGCACTCACATTGTCTCAGGGCAACGTCAACGCTGCTATTGAGCGCCTGCTGAACCAGTAAAAAAAAAAAAAAAAAAAAAAAAACTCCTGTACTTTTTTTGATATTGTATGTGTGCGTGTGTGTGTGCGTGTGTGCGTGTGTGTGCGTGTGTGTGCGTGTGTGTGCGTGTGTGTGCGTGTGTGTGTGCGTGTGTGTGCTTTACTAGGCTTTACTGTCATCAAGGTCATATTCGTTTGACCAGCAGTACTGCGTTGTTGCGCGCTTTACAGGACTTTACAGATTAAAATTAAAACAATCGTCAAGTTTGATAACGTGAGACTGTTTGACAAACGAAAATTGCAGGCTCAGACACACAACCCGTTTTCATCGCGACAGCTTTCGTGATGAGAGATCGCGACGCGCTTTCGTGACTTCTGCGTGGCATCCAGCAAGCGAGGAAATCAGGCCTAGCACGCCAATCCAACCGTCGCCCAGCCGAATGCCGCGAACCAGCGTAAACGCCATCGGAAAGTCGGCCAGATGGCGGAGCAACGAATCAACAGTGGTCTGGTGCGTGATGAGGTCAATCACAAAGCTGAGCACGGTCGTGATGAGCCAGGTTTCGGACGAGAGCGATCCAATCCGAACGCGCTTCTCGGGCGCCAACGTGTACAGGCCCGACGAGGACGCCCAGACAATGTTATCCAGGACAAAGTACGCGGCATAGATCAGCGTGCGTAGCTGCTTGAGCACAAACACGAGCGGCTTCTGGTCGCTGTAGCTCACAAAGACCTGGTACATGTTGAGCACCTTGAGCAATCGGAACAACCGCCGACCCTGCGAGACGGACTGCTCGAGCTGCTTGGCCGCCTGGATGACACGCAATCGCCACCTCTCTGTGCTGTCGTCCCAGGGTGTTGTGCGATGAGGTGCCGGCGCGAGAGCCGTGGTCGTCGTGTTTGGACCACTGCTGCTGGCGGCTGAGGCGGCGGCGGAGGCGGACGACGACGGCGCCAATCTTGATCCGTTGGCAGGTTGCTGACGACCGCGGCCGCTTGCCGACGACTCAGACCCCATCTTGGTCGCAGACGATGATGTTTCGCTTGCCTCTCCGGGATGCGACGGTTGACGAGCAGCAGCAGGAGCGAGCTTGCCGTGCTGAGCGTCATCGTTCCGCTTCTGAATCCACCCGGCTTGGTGCAAACGCAGCACGACGTCTTCGCTCGCAGCCCACTGCACAAGTCGCGTCTGTACGTTGTCATGTCATTGCTTTGGCCCGTCAGATTTTGTTTGTTTTTTTCTAATGTCGGTAGCGCTGCTCCATCCATCTTGACAGGTCAAATCTGAACGTACCGCGTACTGCAGCGTTCTGTACAGCTTGTCGCGGCCCGCAGTGCGGTCAAGAAACTCAATGGTGACGGGTGATATCCGTGGCCATGGTCGCAGATCGGTCAGGTTTCCAGACCCCGCTCCGAGCAGCAGCATCACTGGTGAGTGGAATGAAATTTTGGTTCAAAGCGAATCAGAAATTACAAAAAATTAAATAAAAAAAAATCAAAAATCTGAAAAAAAAAAAAAAAAAACTGAAATGAAAATCAAAAAAGTGATGCGCCTTTTTGCGCAAGGAGCGCTCGTCCCAATCTGGAGTTGGCGTATTCCGAAACGTACGCAAATCCGATGTTGAAAGTTGTACCACGACGGATTGCAGCGCGAGCGGGGACGCCGGACGCAGGGATGGCCCAGGGGGCGCGGTGCAAAGTGGCACGAGTGGAGGTGGCGAAGCGCGCGAGCTTTGGGGCGAAAAGCGAAGTCGGAGGGGATTGACCCCAATCAGTAGCAATTTAGCTGGGTCATACGAAAAGTGTTCACACCTGGGCAAGAAAATCGTCCCCCTTTTTTGCGTTCGTATGGCTTCCACTGTAGCAAAAAGCAGCCGAGAAAAAACGCTGAATCAGTGAATTATTTTTGAACGGGTTGCTCTGTCAGCGCCAGCGCCTCCGCCCGACCTGCTGACCGCCAGGGTGGGGACTGTTCGCGGTGTGCTGCTGCAGATTGAGCGTCGTGACTCGCGATCGAAGGCGGGGAAGCGGCAGGGGGGCAGTGGGGACAGGGCAACGACATTGTCTTGGCTGCGAAATTGCGCCACATTGACGCGTCCGCCTCATCGGCTCGTTTCTTGCAACAATGCATGGGTAGAGATCAACGCCGTCATGCTCTGTTGCGACGACATCGACAATGACCAGCATGACAGCATGACTTGATATTGGCGGCTTTTGGTTTTTTTGTTAATTTTTTCATTTTTTACATTGGTTTTTTTTTTTTTTTTAACAAAGTGGTTTTTGCTTCTCATTGCGTCGCCGAGAGTGTCTGTTGCGTCTTCTTCTCATCGATCGGCCCCACGGTGCTTGCTGACGCTCCTTCACTCACTCGGGTTGTGCGCGATTGAACGAGGAACGCAAACCCGGGTTTTTTTTTTTTTTTTAATAATGCAATTCAAACCACTTTCTCACTCGCTTCAACCTCCCAAGCAATTTCGCCCTCCAGTGCAATCAGCACACACGCGATTCAACACAATGTTTCTCACCTTCTATCTCTCTCTCTCTCTTTCTCTCCTTGCTTTCAAACCCCCACAGATATCCAAATCCCCCCAAATTCAAACAACACCTTGCAAACATGGCTGAGACCGCTGCTGCTGCCCCCACCACCTTCAACGTCTTCTTTGGCAACATCCCGTTCGGCACCACCGAGGAGACGCTCAAGAACCTCTTCCCCGGCAACGCCGACCTGATTGACGCCAAGGTCATCCGTCGCGGCGTCCGCTCGATGGGCTACGGCTTTGTCGAGTTCCGCACTGAGGCTGCTGCCAAGGCCGCTGTCGACGCCTGGAACAAGAAGGAGATTGAGGGCCGCCCCGTCAACGTCGAGATCTCGGTCAAGAAGGAGCGTGCCACCACTGCCCCCGCTGCCACCGCCGGCGCTGCCGCTGCTGCTGCCGCCCCCGCTACCGGCGACGCTGCTGCCCGCGGCGCTGCTGCTGGCGGTGCTCGCCGTGGTCGCTTCAACCGCGGCCCCCGCGCTCCCCGCGCTCCCCGTGCTGAGGGCGCTGCCCCTCTGACCGGTGCCGCCCCTGTCGCCGCTGCTCCCGCTGCTGCCGCCCCCGCTGGTGAGCGTCGCCCCCGTGCTCCTCGCGCTGCCCGCCCCGCCCGCACTCCCCGTGCCCCCGTCGACCCCTCTGCCCCTCGCGAGGAGTCCAAGACCCTCCTGTTTGTCGGCAACCTCCCCTTCACCGTCACCGACAACCAGCTCAAGACCGACACCTTTGCCGGCTTTGAGGTTGCCCGCGCCTACGTCGTCCCCGGCCGCCGCGAGGGCCGCTCCAAGGGCTATGGCTTTGTCGAGCTGAACTCTGAGGCTGAGGCCGACCGCGCTCTTGCCGCCGTCCAGGGCAAGACCGTCGAGGACCGCACCATCACCGTCAAGCGTGCCCTCAAGACCGACTCTGCCGGCCCCGCTGCCGCTGCCACCGCCACCGCCTAAAGTGCCATTTGGCGTGTGACCACTGAGTGATGTGGAAAGATCTTGAGTTCTTGCTGGGTCTTTTTTCACTTTGCTCGTGCTGTCCCCCTTCAGGAGCGATTGTTTGTTTTCGTCCCTGTTAGTGTCCCTTTCCCCCCCCCCCAATCCCCGTCCCCTCATATCATGCTTTTCTTTTTTTTTATTTTGCCTGCTCTCTCTCACACATTTTAAAAAAGAAAGGTGTTGTTCCGGCTCTTCGGCTCTTGCCCCTGTGTTTCGGTTTCATGACAATATATTTTTGGTCACAAACACTTGCGCTGCTTCTGAGGTCCAATTTCTTTTTCTTAATATCGATGGAAGTGTTTTCCTTTTATTTGCATTGACAATGTTTTTGGGTTGATGATGCATATTCAAGCACTATTTTGGCCTTGTTTGACGCCGCCTATGTCGGCGTGAACGGAGCAGACTGCTCTGAGTCTGTGGGCAAATCAGATTGGCGATACTGGCGCTCAGGCAATCGCCGAGGCGCTCAAGGTGAACAAGACGCTGGCATCCATTCGGTAGGTTGTGCATCACGACTCTTTGGATGTCGTTCGACTTGTGCTACATTCTCACGACCTCACCGACAACTTCACCGGCAACAACAGCTTGGAGGATAACTTCTTGACCGAGGCGGGAATCACTGCGCTCAGGGAAACGGGCAATACTAGTTGTGAACTAAAGTAAGTGCCTGCATGTACAGTTTATTGGATGCATGTAAAGCAAAAAAAAAAAAAAAAAAAAAAAAAAAAAAAAAAAAAAAAAAAAAAAAAAAAAAAAAAAAAAAAAAAAAAAAAAAAAAAACCCTGGGAAACACCGAAAGTAAAACGGGGAAAAAAGGCCTTTCCCTTGGTTTAAGGGTTTCCCGGGAATTTGCCCAAAAACCCCTATGGAGGGGAAAAAAATGTTTGGGGGGGTTTCTTTTACAAAAAAAAAGGGGAAAAAGGGGGGAAAAACC